TCCCAGGGGTTTATCAACCATGTATTCATTTATACTATAATAACCCTTTATACAGTTTCAGTTTAATAAAACATTTAAACTTGGTTTAAATGTTTTATTATTTTATTAAACATTATTAAATATTATTAAACATTAAAACTGTCAAGTTTACATTTTAAAACACCATATGAAAGATCAAATGCTAATAGAGAAAATCTTTATTTATCTTAAGCTTGTATATGTGTATTAATTAGTATCTTATATTAGACATGATTGATTTCAAGTGTTATGTATTTTGTTTAAATAATTATATTGTTTAGGTTACTTACTAATGGGGAAGGTATGTCATATTAAAAGATTTATTGTTATTCTATTTGGGGGTACTTGTTTACTTTGTTCATTAATAAAGTAAATTGAATATAGGTAATTTAATATTCACTCATGACACTTGTCTTTTGTAATGCAACCAAGCTTAATACATAATAATATTCAACCAATGTGTTTTATTCTATATTCTGAACATATTAGTGTATAAGTCAACTACAGACCTTAACTATCAATTTCATACACTAGTTAGCTTTTAAAAAATTAACCTTTCCATTGATTGCCTGTTCAGACTAGTTTTAAAATTCTTTACTTCCTTTGTTGCTCCAACGCTGCACTCAACATCAAGTAGTGCTTTTTTGTTTGTTTATGTTCATTATTTTCTGGGATGGTAGATCACGCTTCAGCTGTATTACGGCTGCGGACCTCTTTAGGGTGGGCTTGACCAGAGAAGAACCACACTCTCACAAAATATCAGCTTAAAACAACAGCTTAATGCTACTGTGTTTCTGATCATGAGTATAGAAAATCAGACTCCTCATTACTGGTAAGAAGGTCTTAACCTTAGCTCTCAGGGGTGACAAAGCATCTGCAATTTGATTCTTAATTAAGGGTAGATGTAGATGTAAGGGATGTAGCATCCACCATCAGGTAGAGAATTTCCTTGCTTGTCACCTTTTTTCTACTGGAAAAAATCTACAAATCATGATGGTCATAATGCATCTTGTGTGAAATCAAAGGTTGGTTAGTTACACATCTGCATACATTTTAGTTAACTACATAAAATGAGGTTTTTGTAACAAGACTTCGAAAAAGGGAAGATTTATACGAAAAGGCACCTCAAGGGTGGCCCCATTTAAATTAAAAGTAATATTCCACTCCTATGGCTAGAAATAAGAGGCTGAAGTTTTTATGATATAAAAATTAGTAATTCTTTGATACGCTGTTCACCAACTGATCACTGAGCACTAACTTCAGAAGCTTATTACTTAGAAGCTTAGACGGCTCCGTGGCGCAGTGGCTTAGCAATGAGTTGTTGCGCTGGGGGCCGCGGGTTCGAATCCCGCACGGAACAAGTATTTGTATGGCCTACAAATAATTGTTCCGGGTCTAGATGTTTGTCCTTGTGCAATTTATGTTTGTAAACTGCCTCCACGACACAGGAGAAAATCCTAATGTGGGGGAACGTTTTTTTTAAATGAAAAATAATAATAATAATTATAAGTGAAAACTATTCTATTCTTTTTAGTTTTTGAAGTTTGTTTTTACTTTTTATTAAAAGTTTAACTAAAACGGTTTACTCCCAAAGGCTCTATCTATCTATCTCCATTTTAGGATTATAACCTATATTTCATCAATACATTCAAATAAAATAATAATAATATGTCAAAATAGAATTTTACCAATAAGCCAACACTGCTCTCCGGAATGATTGAGGCTCTCAAGGTCGATTCTTACAGCATGTTGGTTCAATATAGTGTCATGTGTGTACGAACCGCCCGGCTTTGCTTCCACACTTATTATATTTAAGTCACTGTCGCAGATCTGCGGAAGCAATAATTCATTTTCATATCTTTGATAATGAACTTCAAACTGTATTGCACAAGGGAATTCACAGATGCGGAAGAGAACCCACTACTCTGTAACAGTAGATGAGCACCAACATTTTCCTTTTAAAAACTCAAAATATGGTTGTGGTTGCCAACCTACCTGCCAAGCGTGGCAACTATGGCAAACATCCCTTCTAAATCTAATGGGGAGGACTATGTTCAGCAATGGATTTTCGATAGGCTGCAAAAAATTAATTAATAAATGAGCAACTTTTGATATTTCTACTACCAAGTTCAAAAAATTGTATAAAAAAGGTTATTATTATAATATTAAGAAGTTACTCCACCAAATTCATAAAATTTATTGTAAAATAGGGTTATTAGAATATTAAGAATTTTTTGAACGATAATAACCCCAAAGAATGAGGCGGACGCTACCAGGATATTTCTAATGCGATCTGTATTTTTAATAATGTAACATAATACACAAGTGTAAGCTATTTTTTTTTAAATATCCCACTTGTTTGTCTCAAGTACATAGGTATTTTTAGACCCGTTAGCAAAAATATACATCTATACAATTAATAAAATTGGAGTGTCTGTTTGTAATGTTAAAATAACAGCTTTTAGCTAAATACATATGAAAGTATAAACGGTACTTATAGCAAAAACACAAATTTTAAATTTTTGTCTGTCTGTATGTTCCAGCTAATCTCTGAAACGGCTGGACCTATTTTGATGGGACTTTCACTGGCAGACAGCTGATGTTATAAGGAGTAATTTAGGCTGTTTTTATTTAAGAATAAGAAATAGGAGTCCCCCCAAAAAAATTTAAACCTAAATTATACGCGGGCGAAGTCGCGGGGAACAGCTAGTCAAACTAAGATTGACTTTTAATAACTATTATTTATAATTTACATTGAAACTTCTATTTCTATATTATTTGACTAATGTGCTGTCTGGATGATGTACAATAACCTATCAGCCAACATCCAGCATCTCATAAAAAGCGCCAGAAGTATCTCATGGCTTTTGATGATGATGATAAATTTACCATCAGAACGGCCCATGTTCAGGGGTCGACTTAACAATCTGATGATAAAACTGTGCTGATTACCACATGCTTAGCGGTGAATGAAAATGTTGTGGAAAAATGTGCACGTCTGAGAAATAAAATATTCCAAGGACATGTTCTGCCAACACAAATTGGAGCAGCACGGCAGACTAACTTCTCCGTAATCTTTTCAATAATAAGAGGTTCATAGTCAGCAGTAGAATGTACATAGGCTGTCGTTTTATAATTACTGGGCAAATTATAATCTTGAATTCATATCTGTATGTGCTATTGTGCGGAGTTCAATGAGGCCTCATTTCCTGCCGCCTAGTTCGTCTGGGTAAGTACAAGCCACTTATGCCGCCAAACATCAGTGCTTACACAACTGTGTTCCAGTGTGAAGAGTAAAGAGAGCCAGTATTATTACAGTCAAGGTGACAATTGCTTTTGTAGGTTTCAAACAACGGACAACAGTGCCACCTACCGGGTCCAATTGTGAATCTAAGCAATTCTTGAATCAACTTATAATATACACACGGACAAAAGAATTATATATATATAAAGATTGCAGTTCAGAAAAATAAAATTAGTCCACCTATTCTACCCTTTGGGGTGACATTATCTGTCTGTTCGATAGTTCCCTTCACAGAGGCTAGTTAATCTCCCCTGCATGCTTATATGCTGCTGCAAAGTTATGAAAACAACTTACAATTTGTACTTTCTTGGAATGGTAAGACTTGTTAAAATGCCTCTTGTGGTCATCATCGGGCCGTGCGATGGGAACATGCGTGCAGTCTATGCACCCCACTACATTGGGCATGCCATATTTCATATAAAACCTGAAATGTTGTTTTTTGCTTAATTTGGTGGTATTGGTGAGTAAGGTCTGGTGTCGACGGACGAGAATCCATCACATCAGTGTGTCCAGAGGATGTAAGGCGACTATACAAAATGCCAATAAAATTTTATGGCTTCTGATAGACATCTGTATTAGTGTCAGAGATGTGACTTATTATAGATATATATTTGTAATTAATTATGATACAAATACATATTTTCTAAATACTTTTTTAAAATAATATAAAAGAATTTAAAATAGAAAATTACAAAAGTATCTTGTATCTGATATCACAAATAATTTACTTAAAAGTATCTTAAAACTTTTATTTCAGATACTTTTTAACTTCAAAAAAGAGGAAGTTCTCAATTAGTGTTTTTTTTTTGTATGCATGATAATTCCTTTTTTTCTTAAATAGGTTATACTTGAAAGGTGATCCCATATAAATTAGGAGAAAATATTATGGGTCTGGATGTTTTTCCTTGTGAAATTGTTTGTAAACCGCACCACAATAAGAGAGGAAATCATAGTGAGTTTACTTTTTAAAAAAAGAAAGGCTTAACCTCCCTATTATGGAAGACCCATGAAAACCACAACATAAAAGAAATCAATTTGATGTGAAGCCCAACAAAGAGTATTAATTTAACTTTTAAAAATTCATGACAATATTGATGAATTTCTTTCACATTCCAATAGTGTGATACATGATACATAAAACACTCACGCCTGTAACCCAGAGGGATAGGCAGAGAATACGGACTTTTTTTTTTCTTTAAAAAACGTTACACCCACACTAGGATTTTCTCCTGTGTCGTGGAGGCAGTTTACAAACATAAATTGCACAAGGACAAACATCCAGACCCGGAACAATTATTTGTAGGCCATACAAATACTTGTTCCGTGCGAGATTCGAACCCGCGGCCCCCAGCGCAACAACTGATTGCTAAGCCACTGCGCCACGGAGCCGTCAAAGTCTTCCATTTGGCATGATCCTGACACACTTCTTTCTCCTCCTTTACATCCATATACCTACGCATACATGCTCGTCAGTTAGGGATACTCTTAATCTGGCCCATGTTCAATATATTGCCAATTCGGTCAATAAACTTTCGTCTAGGGCGTCCCTGATACATGATATATATCATTTAGTTACACATTTAATGTAGTTTCATTCGCTGTATAAAATTATGCTTAAGCTAGTTTAGTATGGTGTCAGTGAGCAACCTTTGCCATATTAAAATATGTTAAAAATTACCTGGTTTTAATAACATCTCTCTCATTCCTCAGATGAGGAAAATGAATATATTTCTTCACAATTGTAGGGTGATTTATAGCTTCTGTGACCTGCATTACAGCCGTAGAAACAAAGTATTGGGTGATATTGGGGTCAGTTTTGCCTCCAACTGATTTTTGATACTTCCCTGTTGCATAGAATGATAAAGCTGCCATAACCTGTAAAATTTTACTTTAAGATATATATTTTTAGTTGACAATAGAATGGAGCCACCTGCATTCATCGACATTTTAAATAAAATATAGGTAAAAAGAAAACAACAAATTTGCAATCAATAAGTTTTCAATCTGTTTATACTGTTACTAAGTTTGTTGAAAGGAAATTACTACTGAATAAAATGTTAATTTGTTAAATTGCTAATATTGCTGACTCTACCAAATCTAAATATAAAAATGTATTTTAGGAGTTTAAAAATGATAATGATGGTTATGAAATGGTTTTAATACACTTAGAAAATTAAAATCTTATTCATATTTAACAAAAGGAAAAAAAATGAGTTAATCATTTTATGTGGAAATAATATAACATAAAAATTGGTAAATCCAATTGGGCATGCCTTAAGCGCATTAAAAAAATTACGTATAACATGATTATACGGAATTTTTTTAAAGTAGTTTAAATACATTTCGACAGCACTATCGGCTTCAACACCCTCGAAAACCATGAAAATCAGACCTATGATGAAAAAATTGGTACCTAATACAGCCGCCATCTTGGATTTACATTTCAACAGCACTATCGGCTTCAACACCCTCGAAACCCATGAAAATGACACCCATGATGAAAAAATTTATACCTATTGCAGCCGCCACCTTGGATTTACATTTCGACAGCACTATCGGCTTCAACACCCGCGAAAACCATTAGAATGACACCCATGATGAAAAAATTGATATCTATTGCAGCCGCCATCTTGGATTTACATTTCGACAACCCTATCGGCTTCATCTCTCTCGAAACCATGAAAACCATGAAAATGACACCCATGATGAAAAAATTGATACCTATTGCAGCCGCCATCTTGGATTTACATTTCGACAGCACTATCGGCTTCAACACCCTTGAAAACCATGAAAATGACACCCATGATGAAAAAATTGGTACCTAATTCAGCCGCCATCTTGGATTTACATTTCGACAGCACTATCGGCTTCAACACCCTCGAAAACCATGAAAATGAAACCCATGATGAAAAAATTTATACCTATTGCAGCCGCCACCTTGGATTTACATTTCGACAGTACTATCGGCTTCAGCAGCCTCGAAAACCATGAAAATGACACCCATGATGAAAAAATTGATACCTATTGCGGCCGCCATCTTGGATTTACATTTCGACAGCACTATCGGCTTCAACACTCTCGAAAACCATGAAATTTTTTTTATAGGAAAAGGATGACAAACAAGCACACAGTCCACCAGATGGTAAGTGGTTGCTGCGGCCCATAGACATCTACATCTATCCTCTATTACAAATCAAAATGCAGATGCATTGTCATCCGTGAGGATTCAGATGGAATGCCTCATTTCCAGTAAAAAGGGCCAGTAAAAATGACACCCGTGATGAAAAAATTGATACCTATTGCAGCCGCCATCTTGGATTTACATTTCGACAACACTATCGGCTTCAACACCCTCGAAAACAATGAAAATGACACCCAAGATGAAAAAAATTGATATCTATTGCAGCCGCCATCTTGGATTTACATTTCGACAGCACTATCGGCTTCAACACCCTCGAAAACCATGAAAATGACACCCATGATGAAAAAATTGGTACCTGTTGCGGCCGCCATCTTGGATTTACATTTCGACAACCCTATCGGTTTTAACACCCTCGAAAACCATGAAAATGTCACCCATGACAAAAAAATTGATACTACTTACTTTTAGTACGTACTACTATTATTTATTCTGTGCTTTTAAAATATTGTAATTAAAAAAATCTCTCATTATTATTATAATCAAGTATTTAAGAAATTTGGTTATTCAAATATTGTGTATTTGTACAGCAAGCTATTTGAGCCAATAGATGAAGAGATTTAAAAATAGATTGAGTTAAACAATTACAACAATAAAGTTCGAACACCATGAAAATGACACCCATGATGAAAAAATTGGTACCTAATTCAGCCGCCATCTTGGATTTACATTTCGACAGCACTATTGGCTTCAACACCCTCGAAAACCATGAAAATGAAACCCATGATGAAAAAATTTATACCTATTGCAGCCGCCATCTTGGATTCACATTTCGACAGTACTATCGGCTTCAGCACCCTCGAAAACCATGAAAATGACACCCATGATGAAAAAATTGATACCTCTTGCGGCCGCCATCTTGGATTTACATTTTGACAACCCTATCGGTTTCAGCACCCTCGTAAAACCATAAAAATGTCACCCATGACAAAAAAATTGATACTACTTACTTTTAGTACGTACTACTATTATTTATTCTGTGCTTTTAAAATATTGTAATTAAAAAAATCTCTCATTATTATTATAATCAAGTATTTAAGAAATTTGGTTATTCAAATATTGTGTATTTGTACAGCAAGCTATTTGAGCCGCTGCAAACAACCGAAACAATGTCCACTCACGACGGCGACTGACGCCGAACTGTGAGTGAGTAAAGTACTCTGTGGCTGTAGCTCAGAGTGCGGCTTCCGCCTATTAACAGAAATAATTTACATACAAGGCTACCAAATCAACAAAAATTTCGCCAATTTGGAGCCGAAAAAAATTAATTATAGCTAAACAAAACAAAATTGCACTGCCATTTACATTCAGTGGCTGCCCACATGATAGATGAAGAGATTTAAAAATAGATTGAGTTAAACAATTACAACAATAAAGTTCGAACACCATGAAAATGACACCCATGATGAAAAAATTGGTACCTAATTCAGCCGTCATCTTGGATTTACATTTCGACAGCACTATTGGCTTCAACACCCTCGAAAACCATGAAAATGAAACCCATGATGAAAAAATTTATACCTATTGCAGCCGCCATCTTGGATTCACATTTCGACAGTACTATCGGCTTCAGCACCCTCGAAAACCATGAAAATGACACCCATGATGAAAAAATTGATACCTCTTGCGGCCGCCATCTTGGATTTACATTTTGACAACCCTATCGGTTTCAGCACCCTCGTAAAACCATAAAAATGTCACCCATGACAAAAAAATTGATACTACTTACTTTTAGTACCTACTACTATTGTTTATTCTGTGCTTTTAAAATATTGTAATTAAAAAAATCTCTCATTATTATTATAATCAAGTATTTAAGAAATTTGGTTATTCAAATATTGTGTATTTGTACAGCAAGCTATTTGAGCCGCTGCAAACAACCGAAACAATGTCCACTCACAACGGCGACTGACGCCGAACTGTGAGTGAGTAAAGTACTCTGTGGCTGTAGCTCAGAGTGCGGCTTCCGCCTATTAACAGAAATAATTTACATACAAGGCTACCAAATCAACAAAAATTTCGCCAATTTGGAGCCGAAAAAAATTAATTATAGCTAAACAAAACAAAATACACTGCCATTTACATTCAGTGGCTGCCCACATAATAGATGAAGAGATTTAAAAATAGATTGAGTTAAACAATTACAACAATAAAGTTATTGTGTTTACAAGCCTTGCGGACTTGATAAATTCACACCATAAGCCACTAAAACCCCATTTTTTATTTAAAAGTAGCAATTAATCAATTTTAAAAAAATATTAATAAGTTCAACAATCATTTATCTTTCTAACAATGTGCTTTTTATATCATTTATAAGTATAATATGATTGCTATATATAATCTCATTCGATAAAACGTTGGAATCTTAATTTTTTAGGCGATAGTAGAACATACCTTGCGCTTTCGCTTAAGGCATGCAATATATAATTATTTTTTTTAATTTCACAAACAAAATGACAATTTAAAATGAAACATCTCCAAAACTAGTTATTTTGAACTATTTCAAAAAAAGTAGGAGAATCTTAATGCAACATCCACATAATTTTTTTATGTATTTTAAGCAATATCTTCATCAATTATGAACCCATTTAAATGATTATTTATCTTACGAAAAGATCACACAAATTTTAAAAAATACACCCCTATTTCAGTGGAAAATTAGGGGTGATATTTTTAATTAAACTTTGTTATAAGAATCTATTTGGACAAAATAAGATTGTGATATTTCTTAGTCCACTCAAAAGGGTAAAAAAATTAAATATTAATTCAAACTATTTTCTACCAACTTCAAAAAGGACGAGGTACTCAATTTGACTGTTTTTCTTTTTTTTTAATGTGTGTGTTACCTCATAACTTTTTTCTGGGAGAACCAATTTCAATGATTCTTTTTTTATTTGAAAGCTGGTGCTTCTCATGTGGTCCCATATAAATTTGATCAAGATCTGACCAATATTTTTTGAATTATTCTTAATAATTTATATTGAAGTTGGTGTACAATTTTATTTATTTTAAATTATATAAATTCACTATGTCTTAGCACCAACTTCAGAATGTAAAATTATTGTATTTTTTATGGTGCTTTGAAGCCTGCTTTTACTTTTATAAATTAATTATTTCTTCATACAATGTTTTGAGATAAAACTAACAAAGGCGGGATTTATGCATAGTAAAAATTTAGCCCCTAAAATAGATTGTAAATTTTTACAGGTTGAGTGTTAAATTGCAATTATTTTAAATAAATATTTACTAAGACTTTATTTTTAACGACAGTATCGGCAATAATTACCTTGCATTCGACAGAAAACTCAATGGATTTTGTCGAATCTGGCATAACGGGTTTTAATTCTTCACATAAACCTCGCGCTAAATCTTTAGAGAGACGATACGTCTCTATAAACGCGGGATCAGTCAAATCAAACGGATCTAGATCCTCTTTCGCCTTCGGAAGTTTTTTCTCTGGACTTTTTGCTTTCTCCAAACTCCTTGTCTCTTGTTGTTTGTGTGTTTGCGAAGAATCCCACTTTAGCAACTCGAGTATCTCTGGCTCATCGTCAACCACTGATATGTAGCCTTCTTCTGGTGGTTTTTCGGCCATTTTAATTATGTATTGAAATACTTATTTCAATGCAAAAATTACAATCATTATTGAAACAAACGCAGCTTGGGTTGACGAAAACGAAATTTGACATATATAATGTTGCCATCTAGAGTATTTTTATTAAGACTTTGACTAGGATGCTAGTATTTTAAGACATGTCTTCATTTATCTCAGTACAATCAAGTAAAAATAATCCTTTATACTCACTGACCTCTATATTATTAAACAAAAGTACGATGGACTGGCTATGCCATACAAAATGCTTATGCCGATTTGAAGCACCCTCATTGTCCGTACCGGTAACTAAAATTGACATAACATGCCAAAGTCTGTTGTATTATTTAAATCATATCTCTGTATTTTGAATTTTTAAACTAAAAATGAAAGTATTTTATGTGGTTTGATTATGTATGATTTTAGTTACATTATAAGAATTATTTTTATTAATAATAAAAGTATGCGTAATACGTAAAACTCGTTACCAAACGGAAAGTGGGTTAACGTTCCACAAGTAAGTGAATTTGCAGCTAATATTAAGCAAATTAAAACTATTTGATAATATGGGAACTTAAAAAATTTGTCATAAGATCTTAATATTGTAATGACCAACATGTTTGGCTATATTTTACGGAGTTTTGATAAACAATAAAATTCAATAGGGCTGTCGAGTTACTTGTCTGTAATACTTATCGCTGTTCTATTTTAAAACCCAGAACAAAATCGGTTCTGTAGTTACAAATAAAAACATTGATAGCTTGCATCTAAGGCCTAGGTATTAATTGATACATTTATTTATTGTATGGCATTATGTTAATATGATACATAAATAGAATGGATGTTACGGGTAGGCCTGGGTATAGAATTCTTATCGATATATTTTTCACACTGTCTTATCTTTATTATTAGTTCCGTAGACGTTCACTTCTGCTGTCAGCGCCAAAATAACGAAAATCAAATCGCCTCATTATGTCACGAACAACGAGTCCATATATAAAGGTCAGTGTTTATAGTACACTGCTTCACAATATGTTGATGCATCATATTACGTAGCTTTTAGAAGATTTTTATGGCAATTTGAGCTAGCAGACAGTAGGTGATAGTATCTTAAGGCGCCTAAGCAGACAGACAGCGTGTCTTGAGATTCACATCACCATCGGAGCACTTCTTTCAGCGTTTCCACTAATAGTTCACATGCGTAGACAGTCTTACTTATCTTCACGCACAATCCCTGACGGGGTAGCCAGAGAGAACAGATCGCCAAGTGTCACGATCCTTACAAACCTCTTTCGCTTCTTTCAGATTCATTATCTTCTTCATGCATGCACGTCTAGGTATCCGAGTACTTTTGACCCTACCCACTTCGAGCAATTTGCTCACATGGTCTTCGAAAGTTAGTCTCGGTCTACCTCGACACCTTTTATTATTAACTTTCGCGCTATATATTTTCTTCACCATTCGGTCTTCACTCATTCGCTCAACGTGCCCAAACCACCGAAGCACGCCCTTATCAATTTTTGTGATAAGGTCATCTTTCAAACCTGCCATATTGCGAATCTCTTCGTTTCGCTTTCGGTCGGCCATGGTAACGCCGCACATTTTACGAAGAGATCGCATCTCCACTGCATTCAACTTACTTTTATGCTTCTTCTGGCATACCCAGGTTTCGCTGCCATATAACAAAGTCGGTACCAACACTGCGTTATGTATTACAAGGCGTGCACTCTTCGCTACGCCTTGCCTTTTGACTAACGCAGTCAGGGCACCATTGACTTTGTTCCCGGCAGCGACACGCCTGTCCACATCTAAATCACATCTTCCATCCCGGCTAAAAGCACTCCCCAAGTATACAATTTCATTTACCTGTTCTAGACATTCCTGATTTACCCATATTTCACACTTCGTTCTCTCTTCGTCCCTTTCAAATACCAGAACCTTAGTTTTATTAGCATTCAAACGGAGACATTTAATTTCACATTCCTCTTTCATACACGTGACTAATGCCTGCAGTTCGGCCTCTGATGGTGCAATAAGCACTGCATCATCAGCATACAGCAGACAATTTACTTTAATGTCACCCAATTTCACACCCAAACAACTATCTTTCAGCTTCTGTAAACAGCTGTCGAGATACAGTATGAACAGCCAGGAAGACATGACACAACCCTGCTTTACGCCCGTTTGGACGTTAAACATGGGTGACAGGTCATGTCCTACCCGCACACAGGCTTTACAGTCACAGTAAAGAGACTGCACAGCCCTTAGCAATTGACCATCCACACCATACCCCGGCAACAGTTCCCACATTTTCTTCCTTACAACCTTATCAAATGCTTTCTCAAGATCCACAAAAGCACAGAAAATCTTCTGGTTAGCAGCCAGAAGCTTTTCCGTGATCATGCGGAGAGAAAACATTTGATCCGTGCATCCTCTTCCAGGTCTAAATCCGCATTGTGCCTCCCATAGAAATCTTTCCGATTTCTCTTGCATCCTACGTGTCAAAATCTTCGAGTAAACTTTACTTGCTAAACTGGTCATGATCGCCCGATAGCACCCGCAGTCAAAATGTGAACCTTTACCTTTATATAAAGGCACAATGACTGCGGATCGCCAATCATCCGGGACATCCCCCGTCCGCCAGCACAAATTGCACAGCAGATGAAAGCTGTCCCAGACGCGAGGCCCACCATACTTGACCATTTCAGCAGTAACTCTGTCTAGTCCCGCAGCCTTACCACATTTCAAACTTCGAATCGCACTTTCAATCTCTTTCATACTGATGACCTCAGTGTCATCGAGGTCCGGGTCTGGCGTACCAGTCACGGCGTCATCCCCGGATCCCTCACTAAGATCATCACACGCATACATTTCTCTATAAAATTCGCTCCATCGCTGCATGACGTCCGATTTTTCTGAGAGGACGTCATTAGTTCTCGAAAGCACTTTGTTCATTCTTAAGGCCGTCGCACCACTTCGGGCCCTTCCAACCTCTTTCCAGAAGAGTTTGGAGTTCTCCTTAAAGTTGTGCGACAACCTTTCGTCCGCTTCCATTCTACACCTTTCACGCACTTCCTCAATCAGTGCTTTCGTGTGAACTTTCTGCAGCCTATATCTTTCTTTCATCTTCTCTCTCATATCCTTATCATTACTAGAGGCCAAGTAGTCTAACCATGCTTTCTTCTTCTTCTTTACAGCTTCTTTCACTTCATCATTCCACCATGCATCTCTTCTTTTACTACTGCCTCTTTTTATTGTTCCACACACTTCTTCCGCTGCACTTACCATTCCATCCCTAAGGTTCTGCCATGTTCTTTCTACACATTCTTTTCTGCCATCGATGGTGTCAAGCTTTTCGGCTACCCTCGCATGATATTTGTCCCTAATATCCGCTTCCTGAAGCTTCCAGCTTCGGATGCGACAGACCGACTGTGGTTCTGTTACTGCCGTCCGGTAGCGCCAACCCGCGAACAGACCCCTAAATCTAGTAATCACTAGATAGTGATCCGTTCCCAGGTCAGCACCCCTGAACACTCGCGTATCCATCACCTGTTTTCGCAGTCGGTCATCCACCAGGAACAAATCGATCATACTTCTCTCATTCTTTCGTTCTCTAGTATACATATGGATTTTCTTGTGATTAAACATAGTGTTTGTCACAAGAAGACCCTTTTCCTTGCATACCGCCAGTATAAGCTTGCCAGCATCATTAACCCTTTTATCGCCAAACTTTCCAAGTACCGACTCGTACCCTGGTCGAGCGGTACCAACCCATCCATTCAAATCACCACATACAACAATTCTTTCGTTTCCCCTAGCCAAATCTAGAACTTCTCTTACATTCTCCCAAAACTCCTCTAGCTCAGCCCTGGACGACGAAGCTACCGGCGCATAAACAGCCAAAAGGAATAACTTCGTCAGTCCCAATTTAAAGCGAACCCAGAGAAGTCTTGAGTTCACAATAGTAGACACTCAATACACAAAATCGCTCTACGTTTACATATCCAAATGCACTTCGAAACATTATTTAACTTTAATCAATATTACAGGAGCAGCAATCCGCCGCCGGTCAAGTTCCCGCCAAAAGGTAGGTAGTGTAGAGAGCACAGAGTACCAAAGAATTATAATATATCACTACGTTTTACAGACTACTTTTACTTTGAATAACCTGAAGGTAAAGAATAATTTTGTTGTATTAATTGGCAATATTGTATTACATTGAAAGATAGGCTGGTGAAGTTCGATGTTAGTTCTGATGTTAAACTTTAGTTATTTTTCGGGTTGTTTTTTCGCGGTATAGTAAATAATGATATAAAACAATAATTAACGACACGGAAATGGTCATAATTAGATTGAATAATGGGTATTTATTAAGTAGTATGTACGCATAGTATGTAAGTAGTAATAGTAAGTAGTAGTAGCATATTCTTCTCACTACTGCAGGTTTTATGTTTACCTGGCCTATATTATCAATCCACAATTTTTGAAGGCCTTCATTTTTTGGCAACCTAAAATAAATATTATGCATCCTTAAGTACCAATCAAAAATAATCTTAACATCATCAAATCTTTTGATGAAAAAAACTACTATAGAAAATTTACGATTTACACTATTTTCAAGTTCTTTTCTTAAATGAAAGGCTCTCAATCGATCGTTTGATTAAATTATTAAAACGTTATTTGATCATAGGACTACATTAATATTATTGTTAAAATTTATATCGATAATTTCAAAACATGACAGCACGTAAGGGCAACACTATGACAAAATGTAAACAATAACAAAATGTTTACTTGTTTAAATTTACATGATAATAGTCATTGGAAATTCTAGATAATAACGGGAAACACGATTTAGAACCCATAACATGAACACGAAACGCAATTTACACGAAAAAATATACAATTATGGAAAAATATTACAACTATCCTGAAAAATGACAATCCTTCTTCATTTTTACGAGAATTTGAATTACATCCATTGATGCAACACTTTGTCATGTTATTTTTGCTCAATTATCCTTTACTAATGAACAAAAAAGCTCCAAAATAGTCAAAATTCACTGTAACACTGCAAAATAACTCCGAACAAGGCTTAGATGACAGACGAACTACCACAAATGAACGTCATCCTAAAATGGCGTCATGCTTCAAGGTGGAGCTTAGTGACATTATGAAAACTGTTAACAGAAAATTGAAGTCTAAGTTATGTACTTATCTTCTTTTACATTTGAAAATCACAACGTGTGAGAATGAGACAGATATATTTTTGTTGGCAAGGTTCATGTTTGCATGATATTTGTATAACCAAAAAATATATAGGTATGCAATTTACTGCTTATCCTCTATTTGTTTTATATCTATGTTTTGGTGACACAGACCATAGATATAAGAAAAATAGGGGATATGCATAGATATAAGAATAATAGGGGATATGGCATATGGTCACGTGATCTGAAGTCAAGTGTTTTTCAAATATGGCGACGACTCCACCCACAAGAAATAGCGTTGTTTTGGTCGATATTTTCAGTATCGATGCTATGTCATATGTCATAATTTATATGACGTATTGTCCATCTCATAGGTATATATTAAATAAACAAATATTAGATCACTACACTTTTGCATAGGGTTAATCCTGTAATAATAGTTGTATTGAGATGATAAATAAATAAATCTTACGTTCAACTCAGAATAGCAAAGTTTTGAAACTGTAATTGCTTTAAGATATGGTGAAGCAACAGTCAAAAGTGAGCGAAGAGACCAAAGAAAGAGCACTTGATTGGAGCTTTAACTCCTTTCTTTTCAGAACACGTATACGACGTGCACCAGAATATTATACTGAGTTCGTTTAACGAGCTAACGTTTTTTTCGTAACAACGGCAATCTGCACATAAGCCGTCTAACTCCATCCGTGCGTCCCTGGGTCGACGCATGCATTTTTTTTTCTCCTCTGCAGAGATTAACGAAACCACCACTATAGACAATGTATTAGGCTTCGTATGATTTTTTGTCCAGCCCATGCTGTCCCACTACTAGGCAGAAGTCTCCCCTAAGTTTTTCCCAATGGTTTTGTCCTGCACCACATCGAACCAGCCCTAACGATATGCGTCCAGGTTGCGTGAATTATATCATATATATAGACTTTATAGCGGCTGGGAAGTTAGTTGCGAGCGCAAGTCCTGTACCTTCACGCTTCGCTTTACGTACTGTGATCTGAGACACCATCAAGTTTTCTTTCAACTATATCTGCACGGACTAGCGCTCGCTCTTAACTTCCAAGCCGCCATAAAGTTTTGACAACACCTTTTTTTCGTGGTAATGGTCGGTTACCAGTGCAAGTCACCATGAACGTGCAGTAGACTGACCTTTATCTTGATTCATTAAAAGTTTGTGGAGCATGTGTTCTTTCATACATGGTTACTAGCCGTCATCTCTCTTTTTTTTTTTTGATAATAAAGATTATTTATTTAATTATCTTAGTAATCTAATCGAGTTGAGCAGCCCCTTTCTAACCATACCACCGTTTACACAATCCATTAATCATTTAACTATCCTAACGTATTCCTCAATCTTCAGCATCCCATGTTCATACCATATGACAACCAATTTGCATGCAACATTTCGATCAATAGGGGTGGCTGCGCCACTTCAGACTTCCACTTCCATACTCATTTCTCATAATATCCCATTTGTGTAACACCACAAAATATCAATTTTATGGTGTTTACAACCTGCAAGTTGTAATGACTTCCACCAGTAGCGTAATTAGTGGTGGATACTGGAGGTAAACGAGAGAGTAAGGATTAAAAATAAATAAAATAACAATAATGTATACTGATTAAAATCATTTATTCGTGACGAAATAATATTATTTAGTCAGAAAATTTATTACATTCTTTTTCAAAATGCAAGGAGCATATTCTTCTTACTACTGCAGGTTTTATGTTGTGTAAGGTAGTGTATTGGGATGTTTATTATTTTTAATATATATCAACAATCTCAGTGAAACTATGGTTAACCCATGTGTTATGTTTGCGGATGATATCTCTATCTTAGCACCATGTCGTAACGTAAATAATATAAATGATATACTATATAAAATATTTAAAACTACTGACCAATGGATGAAAGAGCATAACCTAGAAATTAACTATAAAAAAAAAATTTTTGCCTTTTTATCCTTATCAAAAACCACCGATTAAAATTAATTTTTCTTACAAAAATACAAAAATAGAGTCAGTAAATGAACACACTCTACTCGGTTTAATTCTAGATAGCCACATTAACTGGAAATCTCAAATTCAGAAAATTCGTAACAAATTGTCTAGCTTTGTATATGCACTAAGTGAAATAAAAAAGACAACTGACCTCCAGACTGCGTTAATTACTTATAATGCCTATGCACAGGCGTGGCTAAGGTATGGTATTATCCTGTGGGGCAACAGTACAGATGCACCCACCATCTTCATCTTACAGAAAAAGCTAATTCGCATTATGTCTAACATAAAGAATACTGAAAGTTGTCGTCCTCATTTTAAGAAACTTAAACTTCTTACCTTAACTTGTATTTATATATTGGAATTATGGAAATTCGTGCGAAAATACCCTAATTTATATGTAAAAAGAGAAACTAAAAATACGGCTTATAGTTTTAGATATGAAAATAAATTATTGCTACCACCCTCTAAAATGAAGCTCTTCTCATCAGGCCCTTACGCAATGTCCATAACTGTCTATAATAAACTACCAAACTCATTAAAAAACGAAACAAATGATAATATTTTTATAAGACAATTAAAAGTGTTTCTAATCAATAAATGTTATTATACTTTATATGAATACCTGAATGACAAATGCAATACTTTAAATAAATGAATGATTAATATGAATAATTATGGACTAATAAATGATATAATAATAATGAATGATATAATAATAATAATGAATTATAAAACATCTATGCGCCCTCCTCTGTTCTAATTTTCTAATTTGCTATACCCAACAGGGTCCATATTGTGATAATTTAATTTATTAATTTGTACATTATGGAATGCAAATAAATATTGAGTATTGAGTATTGAGTATGTTTACCTGGCCTATATTATCAATCCACAATTTTTGAAGGCCTTCATTTTTTGGCAACCTAAAATAAATATTATGCATCCTTATGTACCAATCAAAAATAATCTTAACATCATCAAATCTTTTGATGAAAAAAACTACTATAGAAAATTTACGATTTACACTATTTTCAAGTTCTATTCTTAAATGAAAGGCTCTCAATCGATCGTTTGATTAAATATACAGTTTATGTATCTGAAACGTTATTTGATCATAGGACTACATTAATATTATTGTTAAAATTTATATCGATAATTTCAAAACATGACAGCACGTAAGGGCAACACTATGTAAAAATGTAAACAATCAAAATGTTTACTTGTTTAAATTTACATGATAATAGTCATTGGAAATTCTAGATAATAACGGGAAACACGATTTAGAACCGATAACATGAACACGAAAAATATACAATTATGGAAAAAAATTACAACTAACCTGAAAAATGACAATCCTTCATTTTTACGAGAATTTGAATTACATCCATTGATGCAACACTTTGTCATATTGTTTTTGCTCAACTATCCTTTACTAATGAACAAAAAAGCTCCAAAATAGTCAAAATTCACTGTAACACTGCAAAATAACTCTGAACAAGGCTTAGATGACAGACGAACTACCACAAATGAACGTCATCCTAAAATGGCGTCATGCTTCAAGGGGGAGCTTAGTGACATTATGAAAACTGTTAACAGAAAATTGAAGTCTAAGATATGTACTTATCTTCTTTTAAATTTGAAAATCATAACGTCTGAGATTGAGACAGATATATTTTTGTTGGCAAGGTTCATGTTTGCATGATATTTGTATAACCAAAATATATATATATGCAATTTACTGCTTATCCTCTATTTTTCTTATATCTATGACACAGACTATTATGATACTAATTGCTTGCTACATATATATTTATCTATGACTAATTGGCGAGAACTTGACCGGCGGCGGTCTGCTGCTCCTGTATTATTGTTTAAATACTTAATGGTTTGAAGCGGACTTTGATATGTAAAAGTGGTGCGATTATATGTATTAATTATTGTCTGCGCATGTGAACTATTAGTGGAAACTGTGAGACAAGTGCTCTGATGGTGATGAATTCTCAAGATAAGCTGTTTGTTTGCATAGACGCCTTTAGATACCATCGCCAACTGTCAGCTGTCTGCAGGCTCAAGTTGCCGTCAAAATCTCCCAAGGGCTGCACAATGTGACGCATCAACAAATTGTGAAACAGTGAAATTCTATATTCTCAAAATAAAAAAGACAAGGCTGTATGGCATAGTTCCTTTGCCTGCTCTTTCGCGCGAATAATAAAAACAACAACAACAAGCAACAACAACAGTGCCACATCTTTTTACAATTTGTAAATAGTGGGATTCCCTTTAAAATTTTAATACCTTTAGGCGTGGTGGAATTAAATACAAACTACAATGGAAGCAAAAGATGTGTGCATCGAAATAGAAAACGATGAGTTTTACAGCAAGTTCTTAGTAGATTCAGTGAAACCAATTATAGGGGAAAATATATCCGTCAGTGACCAAGTAAACAAGCTCGCTGTGGGGATTGAAAAGTTAACGAAGAGTTTGGAAAAACAAGTGCTAGATAAACATAACGACCTTCTAACTCAAGCAAGCCATATCTCAGATTTAGAAGCTATGCTGGAGTCTGTGAGGGGTCAAGTACAAAATTTATTAAAAGGCGCCGAAAAACTAAAAGATCGTGTACACTCACCTTATTCTGCTCTCGAAAAGCAAACTATGATGCTAGAAAGAGTTCAAATAACGTGTAACTTACTTCGACACACTTCGAAAATATTAGTTTTATGGAATAAACTATCTTCTGTTAAAGATAACCCAGCCAAGGAAGCCATGATTATTTTTGAGTTAAATGAATTAATAGGTGATTATAATTTTGAAGGTATAACCATACTTGATGAAGTTGTTAAACAAGTAGAATGCAGAAAGACTGACTTACTGAACAATGCTACAGATTTATTGCAGTCAAGTTTGTTGAGTGGTGATAAGACAAAGCTTTTACAGTGTTTTAAAGTATTTCATAATCTACAATGCACTGAAGAACAAATAAAAAGTACAGTGGACAGTATTCTTATTGATTTGAGAAAGGAGATTAGCACAGCCTTGAATGTACAGATGGTATCAATTGAAGTAAAAAAATCAAGTTCAGGCCGTGTTGCTCCTGGAAAAGCTAATATCATGAATGCTCATGATTTCAAAATTAAACTATGGGACAATATAGAAAAACTCTTCAAAGTAGACATTTACAACAGTTGCACAAAGGTAGTAATGCTGCAAAATGTTGTGAATGAGTTGCATGCAATTGGAAATTTTAGAAATATATCAAAACACTTCTGGAACAATCTATTTTTGATCTTCAGTGCTGAGTTAGAAAAGAGCTCTTTGACTGTCAATCAGTCTGTTGAAATTGACTTCCCTAAACTGTTGAAATGTTTCAATGAATTATTATCCCGACTCAAATGCAGGGACTTAGAAATGAATCGCTCTAGCCTCAGTAGATGGGAAAATGCTTTCTTGTCAAAGTCACTAGGAAAGTTACTTGAACCTGTTAGAACTATGTGGCATTTGAACCAAGTACCAAATATGGATCAGATAGACAATGCAGTAAGGGTTATAGCAGAAGCATTGAGCATATCACTTGGTGATAAGCAATTAAGCATAAGCTTGGCTAATAGTGTTGCTAAAAGCATTAAGCAGATGAATATGGAAGCAGAACAAAGAATATCATTAGATAGTGATGTAGCCCAAATCATGGAACCACCAACTAGTGCCCAACAAAAGAATGCTGACTTATGCAACACATTATGTTACTTCTCATCACAAATAAAGAGAGTCCTTATGAACATGAACTCCATGCTTCCTCAGGAAAGCATACAGATAGTGCAGAACAGTTTAAAAGATATATCAAGTATGCCTGTATTGCAGCTTTTTGCTGAAACAATAAAAAACTCTCTCTTCCTCATTTTAATGACAATGCATGATGAACCAGACCTAACCAGAGGCGATGATCCAACAAACAAGTCCTTGTCCTGTTCGCCTTATATGAAAGAACTCCAACAATTTGTATCCAGATGCAAAGACATCTACCTCTCAATGTTCCAAGAGAAATCGGCCCTCAATGATTGCTGCGTTAACATTTCTAAAGCATGTGTTGAGCGTTTCATTCAGCATGTTTGTGTTGTCAGACCGTTAACAAAATTTGGTCGAGTGAAGCTGCAAATTGACTGTCAGCAGTTAGAGACTGCATTGTCTCCGTTAGTTAATGACATAACAGAATTAGGTGATCATTATAGGCAGTTGAAAGCTTTGCAATTACTTTTTGGGAAAACACCACAAGAAATAGCTAAGAGCCAATGCGAGGGTGCTTCACTGCCTTACTCTATGGTTATGATGTTTTTGTTTTCATTTGCTGGGCCCCAGCTCATCGCACCACATACTTGTGCTGGTTGGAATATTCAGAAGTTAATGCATTGGCTAGACTCCCATAGGAATGAATGGGATAGACTTGAGTTTGTGGCTGGGGCATTACAGAGATACCAAAATCATGTACGTCAAAGTCAAATAGTGGCATATGATGAAGTATATCCAATTTTATTGCAGCTCTTAGAAAATGGAAGAAACTCTTTAAAGAAGTAAAGATAATCAATGTTTAATTAATTAACAATTATTTATATTAATTATAAAGACATAAATATTTAATTACCTACTTGTTGTGTAACTCCTAAATGGCTAGACCATTTTTGATAAAAAAATTATGTTTGAGTGGGTCCCTGTATAGTTTACATTCATAATGAGACCCGGTAGATGGTGCTGTTGTTCCAGAAATCCCCTGTGCGAAGCCAGGGCAGATCGCTAGTAGTTTATAAGTTTTACACATAAAATAATAAAATCAATAACAGTATTCTTATAGCAATAACAATGTTGCTATTTTATATTTTATCTACAACTCATTGAAACTACATCCACAAAATATCCATACAGATCCATATTGCTTTCTAAAATTAATTGTCCCGCACAGACACCTAGGCATGCGGCGACGGCCACAACTGCTGGCAGTGCCAAACGAAAGGACAAACTTAATGCGTCGGGCGCCCCTGACATATGCTCTCTGCCCTCTCAATCTGATAGCCAGAGATATAGACTTGTTATCTTGTCCCCTGAGCGAGTTCACCAGGCGAGCATTATACTTAATTTGTTTAAGTTTAAAAGAGATAAATGTGTACATAGCATATAGAATAGTTACACTATTAGGATTACCTGTAGAGATAGTTGTAAGTGCTGAAATAAATAAATAAAAATAGAAAAGTGTCTGATATACCAATCCATAATCCTACCCACTGGAACCACAGGAAACTATTGAGCAGGTATTTCATTAAATAATTAATGTCCTCCATATCGAATTTCGGTCATAGCGGACAGTCTCAATGAAGGCTAGCCATTTGCATAGGATAGGATTATAGTGTTCGATTGTATGTACAATCACAGGTGCGCTCTGTATTCCCTCACTCTCATTGTCGGATGGCAGAACTTCTTACAGAAAAACCAAACAACTAATTTTCACCCGACCTGGGATTCAAACTCGGGATTGATTAGCAGTCGCTTTTACGACCACTAGACCAATGGGGCAGTCAAATCCATTCTTGTTACTAGCCTACAGTACCTATAAAGCCGCGTAAGAGGTCGAATAATAGCGCGCGCTCTAGGCACGCGAAATGGATACCGCTTTGAAACGCGCGCCAAATGTTCGTTGGAACGTTCAAACCTGTAGCGGACCGTTCCATCTCGTGTCGATTTTTTACCGCGCATCAAAGTAGTTAAGTTTTGGCGCGCGCGCCAGTTGGAACGGTTGTTTTCATCATTTGTGTGTTCAATGCGCTCCGAGCTATGGATAACCACAGTTGCCGTAAATTGATATAGTTTCTGTGAACTGATATTTTAATTTGAGTGTACTCTGATGGAGAATCCAGCCAGATTTTAAAATTGTATAAGTATGTTTTTAATTGTAGACAATGTATGAAACACACCAGCACGTGTCGACACGCGCCGCGTATAGCGAGCACGCTGCTTCAACCGTGCATGAAGCTCGTTAAAAATTTGCAAGTGTCCACGCTGCGGCCACCGGTAGGCCGCACGTGCGCTGTGTTGGATACATACACGCGGTGTCGGAGGGGGCGGGGCTTGCAGACTCACGTACATGGCAAGCGAATACAACTGGCCGCCACCGCAAGCCGATTGTGTAGGAGACGCTTTGTCGGTGCTCTTGAATTATTATGAATAATCAGACGCGCGCTTGTACCCTATGCTTGCCTTAATAAATGCTGGAGAAATAGAATAGTTTTATTCAATATACTTAGACTACAAGTTATTCTTATTGAAAGTCATTTTTTTACCTTTACACCTGAGGTAAAACAGGTAGTAAAAACTACTTACCCAAACTTAAGAACAAACAGTTTGGATGAGCGACCACCTCGGTCCCAGGGGCTATTATCAACCATGTAATCATTTATATTATAATAACCCTTTTTATACAGTTTTTGTTTAATAACAATATTAAAACTTGGTAATAGAGACCTTTGTATATTTTTGGGACTGTTGTAATAACGTAGATTCATGGGGTAATCCCCATGAATGAATTAGACTCTGTGGAATTAAGAAACTGGTATATTTTATACTATATGCGAACGGACGTTATCCGTTCATCTAATATATAAAAATTAATTTGTTTGTTCGTATTTTATGCGCTGCCCTACCGTTCATCAGATTGAGCTAAAAATTCGTCAACTTATTGGATTTCATATATAATAATCCCCGAAAGTTTGACACAAAATGAAACTATGTTATTTCTTTACATTTCCTATTTATTTAAAAAATAATTACCAATGACATTGTATTGTTTCGAATGCTTCTTAGTCTTGGTAGAGATATAGTTGCTCCAAGCGTCATCTTCTTTCCCGTGGAAAGGTTTAACATAGCTCTTCCATTCTCCTCTAAAATATTGAGACGAAATTATTTCTCTAAATTTAAATCAAATTGTTATAATTAGGAGCAAATAAAAATATGATTAAAATTGTAATAAATCTTTGAATTACTTTTATCAATATCAGCGCCAGGGCCAGCAATGCAACGTAAATATAGGAACTGATTTTTTAATGAAATTGATTAAATCAAAAAATCTAATTAAAATTGTGAATAACGTTTATTTTCTCATTCATAACTTTCGTTTCGTTTCACTTTCCAAACATACAGAGCAGATTATTCCTTCAACCTTGAAGATGAAGCGGATCTAAGACGGGATGCTACATCATTATTATCATTACAACTCTTTACATGTCCACTGCTGAACATAGGCCTCCCCCAGGCAGGTTTGGCAGGCATTTGCAAATCTTTGATTCTTTTTGTAAGAATAAGCTATTTCAGCAGATGATGAAGACATAAGGTTGCCGACGGTAGCGATCATTGTTATTGGTATCGATCCTATTTTTAGTTAATAAGGTTTCCAAGATTCGTGTATCCAGCTGCGAATAAAAAATTCAAAGGTAGCAATATGAACACCCGACGGAAGTCACATTATTCCTTTAGGATATTCCTAGGTTTCCTCTTACCCAACCACGGGACGTAGTAAGGTAGTGGTGATTCATGGCGAAAAATCCGGCAACGAATGAGGAATTCCTCAGGTGTTGCAGAATTTCGTGGCCGGCTGTGGCACGATCAAGTAAGCCGCATGATCGTTTATGCCCTAATAATTTTATTTTTATTTTGATAGATATCTCTCGACCTGGGAACTACCTTGCAGTGCAGTACCTAACTAACTATACGGCAGGGTCGCAGCTACTATTATACAAATATTATTATTTTTATACAATTACTTTTTTATATCTGCTGTATTAATGATTGTCTACGCCGAGTATGCCGCTTCTTGAACAACAATAAAATTTTATAAGAATAATATTAAGCCCACCGCTACTAAGCAATGGAAGAGAAACTACGAAAGAAACTTACCAGGTACTTCCTCTACTTCTAATCTATCTTACTATATAAAAAGTATACGCTAATTCAAGGAAAAATATAAAAACGAAATTTAACAAATTATTTATTGTTTAAATATGTGATAACGACATACACCATGTTTAGCAAACATTGATTGAAATTACAAAATTGTTGGCCGAGCTTGTGAGGAATTGCTGAATTCGCACATTCGGTATTTAGCCTTTGGTTACAAAGCAAAAAGTCACAGATAATAAAATAACAGTTCATATTTTTTCAATATTAACTCATCACATTTAATCTGTAATTTCAATCAAGGATAATAGTATAATATTAAACTAAATTCAACCAACCAACATACTAACATAATTCTACTCTCATTGATATCTTGGCAACAAAAAATCTGTCATTCATAAAGGTTGTCAAAACATCAACTAAATAATTAATCGAGAGTTATTTGTTAAAAAGGTTTTTGTCACAATATAATCAATCAAAAATTAAGCCGAGGTATTTAGTTTCAAAGTCTGAAATAAATAGATTAATTTTGATATTTATTATATTGTATTAAATAGCGAACTAGCAAATAAAGAAGGAACATAAAATATATAGAAAATTACAAAAGTGTTTTAGCTATAAAACCATAATGTCTTCTGCAATATTTCACTTATCATTATAACTCCACTCCATAACTTAGGCCTCTCCCATAAACTACCTCATAGAGGGTCGTTTGCCACAGTAGCCACACTTGGCAGACGAGTTGGCAGCTGCAGCTGTTTCAGTTCCCTCTATCACCTCTGACACTCACGGGATGGTATGGGTAAGTGGATTCTCTTAACACTACCTTGCATATCATCCCATATGTATAATGTAGCTAGCACACAATGTTGCCCCGGTAGGAATCCGACTTTAGGCAGGAAGGAAATCATACCAGTACTGTAAATTACATTAACAAGCTTTGTAAGTTCTTTTGCTGGTTTTAACCAGACCTTTAAACCTCCAACTGAGAGGAGAACTGGTACATGCTTTTCTCGCGATTTCCATTTTCATCTTGTTGACAGATATAAAATTACAAACTACATCTACTGTATACTTATATAGTGTTTAACCAGTCTAAAATAAAATGCCAATTTTACAATCTACGCAACACAAGATACGGCCACGAAAATGCATTTTGCATTATATTAACAATATTTGTAGGATACTTCAGACAGTTTGAAACAGTTTCACGGAATTTACAGTAGTTTATTGGCGTGGTGTACTCCGAAAAGGTAATAATTCAATATAAGTAACTAACTAAACTAAGTGGAGTTTAGTCTTTGTCTTAACAGTCGGTATAAAATATTTTTATTTTTCATTTAGCGCGCTTAGTTTAAAATAGATGCTATAATACATAATATCTGTAGTGTTTGCTATTTTTTAATAAAAAGAATTGACCCCAATACTAATGCTTTAAGTATAATTCGACTTTTATTAATTAACATCTACCCTACACTTAAGTTATTTACATGAACTTTATTTAAATACTAACCCCTTTATTTGACTTTACCCATTTCCTTAGAAAAAGTTACCAACTGTCAAATGAAATAAATGTGCGTATTTATTTGTAGTTATTAAAATAAATTAACCCCCCCCCCCTCCACCCACCTTCGTCTCTAAGCAACGACTAGTAATGTACGAACGGCTACAGAACTGTTCTACAACAAGTGTATGCACGAATCAAGTCTAGACCTGTTGCTGGTCAAATGCAATCTTGAACACTTCTTCATACTCATTGACGAAATGAACGTCGATGTCCTCTCTGATGAACGAGGGCAAGTCGTCGAAGTCGCGCCGGTTATCCTCAGGGAGGATCACGCAGTTCACACCCACCCTTTTAGCCTGGAAAGACAAGTATCATTAATAATTATTCTATAGTATTGTAAAACTTTGAGAACTACGTAGTGGTGGTGTAAGAATATCCACTACCCCATATCGTCCGTGGGTGTCGTAAGAGGTGACAGAGGGAAACAAATCGATGGGCATTAGCCCGTTATTAACCTGTTACAACTTTCAGTGTTTATCATAACTAACAGTGATTTTACTATAATGACCTTGCAGTTACCGGTGTAAGAATATCCACTACCCCATATCGTCCGTGGGTGTCGTAAGAGGCGACAGAGGGAAACAAAAACAGGAGATGGGCAGCAGCATCTTTCTGATAGCATTTCAAAAATGATAAAAAACTGCGAATACCAAACTGTTTCCAAGCATGTAAATTATGGTAAAATTCCTTATATGAGGGAATCTATAGGGGAGGCCTATTTTCAGCAGTGGACATTTATAGGCAGTATCGGATTTTATAGTTTTTAATTTGTTCATTGAGCCAAAAACTTGTAGAAATAGTTACGATGATAATTTAAAATAAAAAAAAAAATTGTACAGCCGACTTTAATATAAATTATTAAGAATAACTCAAAAATTATTGGTTAGACCTAGATCAAATTTATATGGGACCACATGAGAAGCACCAGCTTCTAAATAAAACAAGAATCATTGAAATCTGTTCGCCCAGAAAAAAGTTATGAGGTAACACATATAAAAAAAAGGAAAAGAAACATACAGTCCAATTGAGTTACCACCTCCTTGTTGAAGTCGGTAGAAAAATAAAATAAAAGGATCGCAATTACATAAGCCATTTAATGATGGCAGGGAATCCATTACATTTTAAAGTCCCGTTGATGTCGTAAGAGGTGACCACAGACATTACAGAGGCGAATGATGAAAATCTGATCGTTTATGGTAGATGAATTACATCATCTCAACTTTTCTTTACATGTCCCTGTTATCTAGTGCTGTGTTTTGGATACCTTGAGTGACTTGCTTGCTTCATTTATTTATTTAGAAATGTAGCATGCGTCCTATCCAACTCCATTACTGATTGTTAATGCGAGCAAGTATGTCGTCAAGTTTGGTTTTATTTATGTCTGTTTCTAATTTTATCTCCAAATGTTACGAGCAACATATTTAGAAGACGCGGAGGATGGTACGTCTTGTGTTCCTGGTGCGCTTTACCTGAGAAGGAAAAGGGGAAGGAGAGGTTCTCTCTCGAGGAGGAGTGGGCATGGGGCGACTGGTCCTGGTAGGCGCCGGATGTGTGCGGAAGAGTTCCCGTGGCCGTTGTAATATGCGACAAAGGTGGAACATCATGAAGTTTTAGTCGGTGCGAGTTCTACATAACCCGTCTTTGGCCCCGTGAGGTGGGTATGCGTAGGCATTTCTCTCTTCTTCATGTAAAAAAGGGGAGCTAGTCCTTGTTCAATTTATGTGTGTAAATTGTCTAAACGATACAGAAGAAATTGATAGTGAAACCTAGTGGAAAAAAAGGTACTGACCGCGATGATCTTCTCCTTGATGCCGCCCACGGGCAGGATCCTGCCGGTGAGCGAGATCTCGCCGGTCATGGCCAGCTGCGGGCGCACGCTCTGGCCCAGCGCCAGCGACATGAGCGCCGTGGTGATGGTGCAGCCGGCCGACGGACCGTCCTTGGGCGTGGCGCCCTCCGGCACGTGCAGGTGCAAGTGGCTGTGGATCAGCACCGTCACTATGTCACTCACTGCCAGCTACTTTGTTTTATAGCATAACAATGACAAACGAACACAGTTCACCTGATGTTAAGTGTATACTATGGCCCATAGACATTTATCCTCAATTAGGAATCGGAATGCAGATGCGTTGTCACTCCTGAGGACTAAGATAGAATGCCTCGTTTCCAGTGAAAAGGATCTCAGGCTCTCTACACTAACCATAAGAAACACAGTAGTATTAAGCTGTTAATTTACTCCTTTTTTCGATCCTTCATTGTCTTTGACTGTAGCCCTTTCCCAGTCCAGACAACCCATTCATGCTACACCATAATATATCTACGGCGTGGCGCTACCACGTGTGAAAGTAGACAGTCACCGTCACTAGGTCACAGTGGATAAAAAACTACTTTTTTTGTAACTTGGCGCAAACAGTGTACCATATTAAAAGTAATTTCGACTAGCGACCCGCCCTGACGTCGCCTGTGGTATCTATTAAAGTGGTGTTATTTAGATTTAAGATATATTGTGTTTAGTACACCATCTTTTGTATCAATTTTGCAATTCTTCAAAAAAGAAATCGGTTGAAAGTTTTTCGGATGCAAAAAAATCAAAAAACACTCCTGCTCTCTATCAGTTCGTCATATTCATTACAATTAATTAAACAATCCCAAAGAACAGCGCCGAGAGACAAACAATTTGAACATTTTTTATAACTTAAAATAAAACATTATAATAAACCTTTCATTCATTTTGTACTTGTCTCCTAATCTATACAAATAAATAAAATTGAAGTGTCTGCTTATAATGTCAAAATAACAGCTTTTGACTAAATGCATTTGAACGTATATACAGTACTCACAAAAAAAAATTGTCTGTCTGTATGTCTGTTTGTTCCGGCTAATCTCTGAAACGGCTGGAACCATTTCGACGGGACTTTCACTGGCAAATAGCTGATGTTATAAGGAGTAACTTAGGCTACTTATATTTTACAAAAAGAATTAGGGTTCCGCGCAACATAATTAAAACCCTATATTACACGTAGGCGAAGTCGCGGGGAACAGCTAGTTTATCGATAGAATTGCTTTTTTTTAAATCCAATGTAACATTAGTCGAATATCAAATAACATCTCTACCTGTCTCGCTCTAACTCCCACGAAATGGCGTCATTATCTATTTAATTCAAAGACTTTTCTGTCATATTTGCACTTGTTGAATTCAATATTTAATAGATGAAATGTATTGTGGTGTAGATGTGGAACTGTTTTGATTTCAGGTCTTATTTCAGAAAATTAAATTAATTTTATTTTTTAAGTATGAAAATAGATACATATTATAATATTTTGAAATCTAGGATAAATGGGCCGTCTTTTGAAGTAACTTGCCTAAGGTAGTACAGTATCTTTTTTTTTTAATCAAGAGTAAACGTTAGGTGATTTTATTTTTTCAACTACGACTAAAAGAAACTACGTTAATTTTAACTAACCTAGCAACTTTTTTTTACTTGATTTGTGACTGCATTTAATAGCACGTTTATTTAAGCCCACGTTAGTGAAAAAATCACTATAAAATTGAGAAATTTGTGGTCACAATACCTAATGATATGATCTAAGGTATCCCGAATTTTTTTGTCATTTATAATGAAACTAACTGATATGGATTTTGTATTTTTCCCGGGGCTGGTATGACCCCCCCCCCCCCTCACGCCGTGCCCGCTTGACGTTGAGTTTCGGGATACGTTGTAAATGGGGAAAAATCAACTCCTGTACATATGGATGAGGAAAATCTACTGCTGTACATATGGACGGGGAAAAATCCACCACTGTACATATCGATGAGGAAAAATCCACCACTGTACATTATTGGGATTGGGATAAATCCAATAGGAGGAATATTTGCTGTAGTGTATGTTTTCTCAAGTTCAGTTATGTATCACAACCTCACCTCGTATTCAAGAAAGTGTTGCTGGGATGATGCTTGGCGAGGTAATTCCTGGCGACTGTGAGCGCAATCCGGGCGGATTCCTTCATCACGTCGCCGAGGTGGCCCGTCAGCTCCATTGAGCCGAATGGTGACTTATCATCTTGTACTGTGTTACGAAGAGCTGTTTCGATGTACAACGTACTTCCACCTGAATAGAACCGAAGAAAAATAAATAAAGTTTGTAGGATTAAAGCCTTTTTTTTATAGAATAAGTGTGGCATACGAGCACACAGTCCATCTGATGGTAAGTGGATGCCGAGGTTCATCGACTTCTAGATTTATCCTCGATTAAAAATCAAAATGTACATGCATTATCACCCCTGAGAGCAAAGTTGGAATGCAGCATTAAGCTGATATCTCACGCTGGTAGTCTGTGAGATAGCGTCTTTGCCCGGTCAATCCAACCCAAAAAGATAAAAATTTAAAACAATATGTTTTTATTTTTTGGCATTGATACGATTGAAAGACTGAAATTTATAGAACACACCAAAAAAAGGTTGATGATCCCTGTAGCTGGCGTAAAGGTCACTGGCCGTTTTTCGGCCTACCCTAAAAAGAAAATATAGAATTAACTCACCCATAGCGGTCCAAGCGAGCCCCATAACAACTCCGGGCGGCGTGATGTCGTACATGCGGTCGTGCTTGAACGTCGGCTTGCCCACCAGCTCTGACAGGTTGCCCTCGTCCACGCACACCTGCTCAGCTTCCTGCTTCACGATCTTGAACGCGACTTTACGCGCGATCTGAAACATTACCATTGATATAAATCTCAGACCAACACAGAAAGACAAACAGAACATGACCCATTGTAATAAAATAGAATTCACTTACTAGTTTATTTTAGAAAAAGTACTAGGCAAGCATAAACTTGCACGAGGCAGCAGGATATTTCTAGTTTGTATATCTTAACCGACTTTTAAAAAGGAGGAGGTTCTTAATTCGACTGTATTTTTTTAAGTATTACCTCAAAACTGTTTTCTAGTTGAACCGATTGTTATGATTCTTTTTTTATTTGAAAGCTGATGCTTTTGATGTGTTCCCATATAAATTTGATCAAAATCTGACCAAATTCCGTGTACTTTATAGATTAGTACTACTGAGAACTTTCTTTACTGGTAAGACAGTAAAGCCTGCCTACAAAAAAATCTCAGTAATTTTACTTGAAAACTATTGGGAATGCACCACGGCATGAAGATTCACAGTAGTCTTACCAGTAAGATTACTTGTTAAGACTACTCAGAATACCTCAAATAACTGCCTTTCATTGAACAAATGGGGTTATCTTGAAAACCATTAAAAACATGAAAACCCTTTTGTAATGAAACTTCACGAACAGGGAATATCTAGACTACATTTTATCGGAAAAGCTTACGTTTTTCGTTTTAGAGAAATCGAAAATTTTATAAAAGAAATCTTAAATCGAAATGACGCCACATTTATATACTCCAGAAGAAGCTTGGGTGGACCACTAGTAACATAATATAAACCATTCTCACAGCCTATTGTAATATAATTACCTTCTCAATATGCTTCTGCAGATTTCTCACTCCACTCTCCCGACAATAGGACTTGATAAGAGCATGCAGGGCATCGGACTTCAAGTCGAGCTGTGTTTCACTTAAGCCGCTGTTTTTGCGCGCTGTTGGCACTAAGTACTGCTGTGCGATCGCCATCTTCTCTTCTGCGACGTATCCTAAAAAAGAAGATATTATCTTTCAGTCCTATTACAAAACGACGCTACGCTTTGCAACTACAACGTAACACCATTTCAACAGTGTAGAGACTATTGAAATGGTGTTATAGCGTGTGCAATACTTGTTATTTTGTCACCGTACAAATTAAAACATATTTTTAGGCTCCGTGGCGCAGTGGCTTAGCAATGAGTTACAGTGCTGAGTGCCGCGGATTCAAATCCCGTACGGAACAAGTACTTGTATGGCCTACATATAGTTCTTGGTTGATTTTACATATGTTTGTCCTTGTGCAATTTATGTATGTTAACCGCCTCCACGATACAGGAGAAAATCCTAGTGTGGGGGTAACAAATGTATTTTAATGGGGGTGTTATAAACGAATTTGCTTAATTCCGCGTAAAGAAAGAAAATGATGTGTCCTGCCCAGTTTTTTTTGCCTCTACACGAGGCATCCTCAGGTGAAGTAGACTCTGCGGAAGCTGGCCGCTTAGCTTCACCTGAGGATGCCTCGTGTAGAGGCGAAACACGTGTCGTATTTTCGAGAATGTCGTGCCTAGTGTGGTGGTGCTGGGGATGGTAGTGCTGGGATTGACGACGACGAGCAGGACACATCATTTTCTTTCTTTACGCGGAATTAAGCAAATTAGTTTATAACAACCCCATTATAATGGTTTTGCGCAAAGTAACGCCTGATTCTATTGATTATATTTTAATTTATATTCTATTCCTTGCAAATCCGATATTTTAAATAAAAAATGCCCTTTTTGTCTTTAGGCAGCTTACTTAGGGCATTCAGGGGTTCGCTGTTGTGTGGGAAGTTTAATTGGGCTGGGGGTATTTTAGTTTGAGAAACACTGACATTTCCGAATGTTAGTCAACATTTATTTCAGTCATTTCTATAATGTTATTTAGCGTCATCTTAAAATGCCATCTTGGCTAACCCCGTGGAAGTTAGGTGGTAGCACTTCTTTTCTGTCTTTATTGGAACGAAGTTCTTTATTTCACGGTACGAATTTGACGTATGGGGGCTAAGCGAGAAAAAGTGTAAGATTATTCCGTCACGACCCCCTTTCTATAGTGCGAGCGAGATGGAATAATATCCATCTACCTCGCACTTTTTCTTATCTTGCCTTGAAAGAAATATTATTTTAATAGACGCTAGTAATTAATTTATTTGTATTTGTTAATCAATAATATAATTCGTTTATCAATAATAATATACTACGAAAGGAACTTCGTTCCAACCGAGTGTTCCACAATATTTACGCATGTTTTTTTGATTATTTATTTCTGCCGCCAAATGGCAGTGCTTGCACTATTGTGTTCTGGTCTTAACGATATAGAGAGCCAGTATAGTTACGGGCTGTGACGCATTCCATCATAGTCCTCAGGGGTGACAACGCATGTTCATGGACTGCAGTAGTCACTTACCATCGGGTGGTTGTAAGTTAGTTTGTCACTTCAGTTTCAAAAAAGTTGGCTATCCTCCTTGGAGTAAGATCCCACCCACTCACTCGCTAACACAATCCACTGACACAATCAATCACACACTCGGTAACTAACTCACGCACCCAATGAGGACTAATATTATTACGCTCACCAGATGTCGCTAGTTGTGACTAAGATTTTTTTGTTACCTATCCAGATGGTCACACAGTGTCATTATCATTAAAAAGTTGCGTATTATATAAAAGTTTTTCGGTTTCTAGTGTATGTATGTACAGAAAAGAATGTCTCAGTGTTGTATTCTTAAACTTTTTTACACAGGTTTAACTTATTTTAATTCTTCTACTTTTAGAAATATACGTAGGTTTTTAACCATTTTAAATCTAATTAATTTAAAATCTAGCTAATATTTCGTAAAGAGACCTTAATATTTACACTTTTCTAACAAATATACTTCCCCACAACGAAATCTGTTAAATATTTCACCCTCTCCAAATGGGCGTAGCAGAACAAGTTATAGACTCATAGAATGACTCACCCGACATGTCGATGAGCTCCATACGGTCGCGCAGCGGCTCGGGGATGTGCTCCACCACGTTGGCCGTGCAGATGAACAGCACGCGGGACAAGTCCACCGGCACGTCCAGGTAGTGGTCCAGGAAGTTCGCGTTCTGCTCCGGGTCCAGCAACTCCAGCAGGGCGGACGCCGGGTCGCCATGGACGCCTCTGAGTGCATACCGTTACAGCGTATTAAAGTCCAATGCTAATCATAGGGCTCCCAATAGATTGCCTCATAGGTGGGATATTTGCCATAGTTGTCACGCTCGGCAAGCGGCTTAGCAACCTCAGTTTTTTAATTTAGTCGTTATTAGGGAGACACTGCGGTCTATCTCCTAATTTATTTCCCTCAGTGCATACACACCTCCCCTCATTTCTGAGAGGGTGGGGAGGGTAATGTGACAACACCCCACGTGTTTACGGATAACACGTCCTCAAAATATTTTCATTCATCAGACATGCATGTATGCTCATGATGTTTTTCTTCACAGCTGAGTACACGGTAGAGCAGCAAGTAAAATGCAATTAACAATTTTACCGGTGACGGCGGGGATCAACCCTGATTTGGTTGAATACTGTGAAATTTGTGACGACAGCTTTGTTGTCATCCAACTCAACACATTCGCTTTACGGATCGGCCGCCCATCATCGCACAAGCGCTCGCGTATAGTATTATAATACATCTTTATTCCTTAGTTAAATTACAACTTTGTACAAGTTTTTAATATATTAATAACCTATCTCTAAAGGTCAAGTTAAATTGTAAACATACAACTAACATAATATTATGTTTCACTGTGTCACATTAATTCATCACTCCCCACATAATCTGTTGTACTTACTTGCCAATCTTGTCGACCTCATCGATGAGCACCAGTGGGTTTTCCGTGTTGGTCTTCTTGAGGCACTGTACCAGTTTACCTGGCATAGCTCCAACATACGTACGCCTGTGACCTTTGATCTCGGCCACATCTGTCATACCGCCCACGGAGAATCGGAAGTACTGACGGTTTAACGCACGAGCAATGGAACGAGCTGAAAATAAGATATATTTTTATGAACAATATATGTGATATTATTATTAGTATGCAGGGAGAAGAAGAATGCAATAAAGCGGTCAGTCACAATCTAGCCGTTGTCTTATTTTCACGCGTCCCCTGTAACATGACAATATATGGCAATTCTATACATCATCATATATCGGCATCATACTCTTTGTGTAGTAATGGCTCTTCCAGTAAGGACTTCCGATCTTTGACAGTTGATAGCGACCATCTTGTTGAAGCTACATCTGTCAAATTAGTTGTTATTTATTTAGTCTGTTTTGCCAAATCACCATGGACGGCTACAGCACTCAACAACACGTGCAAATAATAAAATTGTTTTGTCAAAATGGGTGTTCTGTTCCATCAACGTACCGCGCGCTTCACCCATTTTACGGTCGCCAAAATCGGTGCTACCAAGAGGACTATTCGCAGTGTGGTGGATAAATTTGAGTCCACTGGTTCGACCAACACCCGTACGTCGACGAAACGCAAGATCTGCCGAAAACATCACTGCTGTCCGTGAGAGTTTGCAGGAGAATCCGAGGCAGTCGATTTCGCGACGCTCACAAGAACTCGGCCTTTCGCAGACCACAACTTGGCGAATTTTGTGTCGAGACTTGGGTCTGCACCCGTATAAAATTCAACTGACCCAGGAACTAAAGGTAAAACGACTATAGACAACGACGTGTATTCGCTGAATGGGCTCTGGAGCAGTTAGCAACTGACCCTAATTTTCATCGAAAAATCATCTTCAGTGATTAGGCCTATTTCTGTATGAACGGGTTCGTAAACAAACAAAATTGTCGAATTTGGGACGATACCAATCCACATAAGATCCAAGAGCGTCCAATGCATCCTGAAAAAGTAAAAGCTTGGTGTGGATTTTGGGCTGGCGGCATCATCGGTCCATATTTCTTTGAGAAAAACGTTGGCCAGGCCATCACTGTCAACGGCGAGCGTTATAGGTCGATGGTTACCAAATTCTTTTCATCTGAATTGGATTATCTGGACACCAACGACATGCGGTTTCAACAGGACAGCGCTACGTGCCACACAGCTCACGCCACATTGGATATTCTGCACGAGCGATTTGAGGGCATGGTCATCTCACTTGGAGGTGATGTTAACTGGCCACCGAGATCGTGCGATTTGACCCTGGTAGACTTTTTCTTGTGGGGTTTTCTTAAGTCTCAGGTCTATGCGAATAAGCCACAAACCACAGCAGCCCTCAAAGCCAACATAACCCATGCCATCAGTCAAATTCAGCCTGATTTATGCGCCAGAGTCATGGACAATTGGACATTTCGGATGCGCTCCACTCAGAGAAGCCATGGCGGACATTTGAATGATGTTATATTCCAACATAATCACATCGACAGGTCTTTCAAACGAATAAAAAATTTCGATGATATCTCACACAAACTTTGCTTTATTTGAATTTAAAGATATGAAGCGCTCAATGAAAGACCCTTTAGTAAGAGGTGACTGATAAGAACTGAAAGAATAAAAAAACTGTGGTTACCAACGCACCTGACAAGCGTGGTAACTATGGCAGCTGTAATGAATGAATAAACAATAACGAAGTAGGGTAGGAACAACTGTTTTTGTCAGATTTTTTTAAATTTTTTTTATCACTAAGGTCACTGCTATAAAGCAAATCGCTGCTATAGAAATAACAGGAGAAAAAGAGCGACAGTGCAAAATATTATTGAAATAACAGGAGGAATAGAGCCATAGAGCAAAATATTATAATAAAGGACGCGTTTAGAAAATTGATAGGTATACAATCGAACTATTACATTGACATGGGTCACACACATAAGTGTACGCACGGTTAGCTGCGGGAATCGCAATCAAATATAAACATTTTGATAATTTTGAAAGATTGATTTTTTTTTTCATATTTCTTATATCTACAAAAATATACTTAGATACGAAATACAAATGGCTGCTCCAGACACAGCTAGGCACTAGAAGCCCTCTACTGGGAGTGAGATGTTGGCTGTGGACTTTGGGCTGGTTTTGCAGCACACCTATTTCTACTCGTCCAGGAGTTCCAGTAGTAGTCACCGAAGTACACCATCGGGTCTCTCTAGAGCCCAGATGTTAGGTTTCATCATAATTAACTAAACGAGCCCAAACTCGGCATACCTAGTTCTACTCGTCCAGGAGTTCCAGTATTAGTCACTGAAGTACACCATCAGGTCTCTCCATCATGTCCGGAGGTAAGGTGTCGTCTTAACTAACAAAACGAGCCCAAACTCGGCACACCTAGTTCTACTCGTCTAGGAGTTCCAGTAGTCACTGAAGTACACCATCAGGTCACTCTATCAAGTCCGGGGGTAAGGTCACATCATAACTATCAAAACGAGCCCAAACTCGGCACACCTAGTTCTACTCGTCGAGGAGTTCCAGTAGCAGTCACCGAAGTAACTATACTATCAGATAACTCCATAAGTTCAAGACGAATAGGATTTATATATAAATCCCACTTGCTTTTAGCGAAACAAAACATTATAATAAAAATTTATGATTATAAAAATATTTACATATATTATTATTTTACTTTATCAGGTACGTAATACCAATGTATCAAATTCTAATATTTTGTGTTTGTACAGCGACCTTTTACAGCTCCTGCAGGCGATACAGCGACCACCCGCGATGGCGACCATCTATACAAATAAATAAAATTGAAGACTGTTTGTAATGTCAAAATTACAGCTTTTTACTAATTGCTTATGAAAGTATATACGGTACTTATAACAAAAACAAAATTTTTAAAATTTTTGTCTGTCTGTCTGTCTGTTTGTTCCGGCTAATCTCCGAAACGGCAGGACCGATTTTGACGGGACTTTCACTGGCAGGTAGCTGATTTTATAAGGAGTAACTTAGGCTACTTTTATTTTAGAAAAAGAATTAGGGTTCCGCGCAAAAGCATAAAAACCCTAACACGCGAGCGAAGTCGCGGGGAACAGCTAGTAGATAAATAAATATGTAGCAAGCTATGCCGAGCCGAGCGCCGACTGTGGTTTCATCGAAATTTTTGTACAACAAATCAAAACAGGTACAAAAAATAAAATAACTTTTATTGCAGTCCATTAAGATTCATCCGTATTAGCAAAATATGTCAAACATATAAGCATCAGTTTTTATTTTTTTTTACGACAATTTGTGACGTTTTAATAAAAAGTAATCTCCAGCATTTTTTATTGTATATGTCTGCCTACTTACAGTATTTTTAGAAATCCTAATATATGTTGATAATAGAACAAAAAATGTACCGAAACATGAGCTAGTATCGTTAATTTTGTAGAAAATGGCTCTTGCTAGGGAAGATCCTTTTTACAATGTAAAAAACTATTATTTTCAACAAAAAAGTTATCACCATTTAAAGATAAAGAACCATTCTATACGTTGTAGTTATTAGTTATATTTGATTTCATTTAGTTTTGTCACAAAATGTACCGAAAAACAGCATAATTTGGCCCGATTGCAAACATACCCTTAACAGGAGGAATAGAACCGTAAAGCAAAATATTATTGAACTAACTTCCGACCAGTGATAAATAAAAAAATGACATTTAATAAGTATTATGTAATAATCTATATTGAATAAAAATTATCCTATTCTATAACAGGAGGTATAGAGGCATAGAGCAAAATATTATTAACATACCAGGAGGAATAGAACCATTGAACAAAATATTATTGAAATAACAGGAGTAGAAGAGCCATAAAGCAAAATATTCATGAAATAACAACAGCAACTGTAATCTTGCATTCGTAGATTTCAACACTATATATATTTTAAGATGATAAATATCACATACTCGAAGGTCAAGTCCACCAATACTCGAGCAGCGCGGCTGAATAACTGCTCTACAATCCTTTCAAAAATGAGAGGACCTGTCCCCAGCAGTGGGACGAAGATAGTAGACATAGACGATAATCTTTCCAGAATTAAGAAGAGACCTCTCCCCAGCAGTGGGACAAAGTTAGTAGACATTAGGTCAGTTGTGGTATCTGTTTGTAAGAAACAAAAAACTCACCTATACTAGTTTTGCCGACTCCAGGCGGTCCATGGAAGCACAGTATTTTGCCCTGAGTACTGCCTTTGAGTTGAGAAACTGCTATGAACTCCAGGATCCTCTTCTTTATGTCCTCCATCCCGTAGTGATCTTCGTCCAAAATGACTTGAGCTTCTTCTAATTTCAGATTCTCCTCGGATGTGAGACCCCATGGTAGTGAAGTCAGCCAGTCGAGGTAGCATCGTGTTACACTAAAAAGATTTTTAAATTAAAACCTAAAATCATGATCATAACATAATTTTTTTTTAGCTTTAACTGTAATGACAGCTCTCATTGCAGAACTTTTTATTGGTACTTTTTAGGTGGTAGAGCCATGCTGCAGCTATATTATGGTTGTAGCTCGAAGTCGGCTTGACTGGAGTAGAACCAGGCTCTCACAGAATACTAACAGAAAAATAACAGCTCAATTCCACTATGTTTCATAATATCGGGAATCTAGATAACCGAAGATCCTTTTTACTGGCATTCCTTCTTAGTCCACAGGGGTGGTAACACATTTGCATCTTGATTCTTAATCGAAGATAGTTTTAGATGTCTATGGGCCACAGCATTCACTTACCACCAGGTAGACAGTGTGCTCGTTTGTCACCCTTATTCTATAAAAAAAACTTGCCCCACAACCATAAAACATGAAGCCAACCCAATTTTGAGAGATAAAAAAGTTAATTCAAAATGTATGATGAAATAATTTCATAAATAATGGCGTCTACTACGCAATTCGCCCACCGAGCGTTGTAATCACAGCATGGTCTTACTACATGAGCACATCCAATAATGCACTGTGAAGTGAAGCTACACCTTTATACGATCCACATGTGGCCCACAGGCCTACCCTCATTTCTGAGAGAGTTAAGTGGTTTATGCATGAACTGAAATGGATTAGCGTGTAGTGGCGATGTACGAATATCCACTACCCGATATCCCGTGGGTGTCGTAAGAGGCGACAAAGGGAAACAAATCAGGAGACTGGCAGCAACAATGCATGCAATACCGTTGTATCGTTACCGCAATTTCGCGAATGTCGCGCTGTATTTCAGTACGGCAAAAGCAGTACGAATTACAGGTGCGAATTTCGCAGTATTAAAAACGAACCCGGTATGAAACCGGAGTAACAATGGGTAAATATCTGGAGAATGTGTATAACTATCTGCTAAGCATTCCACCAACAAGCGTAGAAGCTGAGAGAGCATTTTCGGCTGCTGGATAGATATGTAATAAAATTAGAAGTTCTTTAAATGATGAGACAGTGGATATGCTTTGCTTTTTACATAAACATTCCGAAGGTAAAAATTAAGATTAGGGTTGTAGGTGTAATTAATTCTAGTTATCTCATGTTAGCGTTTTAATTTAACCTGAATAAAATTGTTTTAGTTAAACCACTATTAAAGGATTTTTTAATTTCGCAATATCGCAAATATTGCGATATTACAAGTTCTGATGCCGCAATATTGCGGTATTGAAAATATACTGGGGCATTGCATGCTCTAGCAGCAACGCCTACCTAATAACGACTAAAAATTAATAATTACGATTGCCAACCCGCTTTGCAAGTGTGCCAACTATGGCAAATGTTCCCTATGAGGCACTATATGGGGGAGGCCAATGTTTAGTAGTGGACTTTAGTAGCTTGTAACGGTAAAGGTAACGGAAACGGATAAAAAAATAAAGGTAGGTTCACACTCACTTGAACTCGGAGCTGTGGCTTTCCAGAAAGTTGAGCTTGTTGAGCTCCTCGTCAATGACTGTCTGCACAGCTTCTGGCACTTGTTTATCTGCGAGACGTTCCCGGAATTTCTCTCCAATCGCGTCCTTGTCATCCTTCTCCAGACCCAACTCTTTCTTGATTACCTGAAAACAGTAATATTAACATTTCCATATAAATAGTAATCTATACAAATAAATAAAATTGAAGTGTCTGTTTGTAATGTCAAAATTACAGCTTTTTACTAAATTCATATGAAAGTATATACGGTACTAATAACAAAAAAAAATTTTATGTTTTTGTCTGTCTGTCCGTCTGTCTGTTTGTTCCGGCTAATCTCCGAAACGGCTGGACCGATTTTGACGGGATTTTCACTGGCAGATAGCTGATATCACAAGGAGTAACTTAGGCTCCTTTTATTTTAGAAAAAGAATTAGGGTTCCGCGCAAAAAAAATTAAAACCCCAAATACCACGCGGGCGAAGTCGAGGGGAACAGCTAGTATCGTAATAAACCTGACATTGAACTGAGAGGGTTATTTGGAAGTCTTTAAAACATAAATGACCATTTTTAAAAGTTTTGTCTGCCTGTCTGTCTGTCTATCCGAGCTAATCTATGGAAATCTATTGTAATAAAACTACATAAACAGATAAGAGTCCAATGTCAAGAGTTATCTAGGCTATATTTTATCCGAAATACTTGGAAGATAAAAAAAAAACAAAAAAATATATGAATAAATGGTCCTTGATTATGTTAAGTGTAAACAAAATCTTAAATCTAAGCAACGCCACACTAATATATCCTATCCAGGCAAAGTCAGGGCGTGTCGCTTGGTCGGACCTCAACGCTCAGACCGGATTCAAGCGGGGGGTCAGTGCGGCGTGCAGGACGAGGGGTCACGGTATAGCACGACCAGCTGACCGCCACATCAACAGTATCAAGACCAGTTCAAATTGGGCCACCGACGACTACGCGCGCTGTTACCCTCTGGTCCTCCTTCCATTCAGACTTTGTACAATTTGACTATTACTAATAATTATTATTATACAGTCCACTTAGTTCTATTATTTATAAAGATCACCAACATATGGCAGGTATTATTAAGAGTTTATTAATAAACCTGCGTGTCACAGAAATTATACACAAATATTTCGAAGACATGTTTGTGAAGTCCGCCACGATGTGGCAGCATGGCTGATACTACCTTGCCTCAAAGCCCTCTTGGAAATGAGACGAGTGTGGTGCCCACCAGTAGAACGTATTTAGACCGTTTAACACATACCAACTTAAAATTTTCTTTTTGCCTTTATACTTACTTTGAGCTGCTCGTGCAGGATGTACTTGCGATGCTGTTGCTTCACCTTCTCCTCCACTTCTTTACCAATCTTCTGCTGCAATTTCGACAGCTCGTATTCCTTCTTGAGTAGTGAAAGCGACATCATCAGTCGTTTTGGAATCTGTTGGGAAAATTCAAAAGGTATTGAACGAGCTTAAAGTAAACAGCACAATTGAAACAGATGGTTAAGCATTTTTATTTTTTTTTATGAGCTGTGGTAGCTCAGATGGTTAGCGGTTAGTGGGTCGAACCTAGCACGTGCTCGGCGGTGAAGGAAAACATCGTGAGGAAACCGGCATGTCTTAGAAATAAGAAAAAAAATATTTCGAAAACACGTGAAGTTCGACAACACGCTAAGGGGCAACGCGGCGGACATTTCCTTGCCCTAAAACCCTCTCGGAAATGAGAGGAGGCCTGTGCCCAGCAGTGGGACGTATACAGGCTGTAACTTTAACTTTTATAATACTGGTGGTCACAGCAGTCCATGGACACTTACAGCCAACTTCAAACAAAGAAGATTACAAATGCGTTGTCACCCCTGAGGACTAAGATGGAATGTCTCACAGACTGTCTTTGGTTCACTATATCATTCGGACCGCAATACGTTAGTACAAGCACTGCTATTTGGCGGTAGAAATGGGTGGCACGCAACCAAACAGACTCCTAGATTAGAAAAGGACCACCACCACCTTCAAAGTACAAGTATTTAACTTCTACATTTCAAGTCAGTAATAACTCTCCTATGTCATAGAGGCGTTTTACATACATAAATTGCATGTGGTGAAACATCCTCTACACTCAGAATAATCATTTTTTAGACAACACAAACACTTGTTATTTCTTCTTGCATGAAGAGAACTCGCGGCAAACGCTTAGTTTGTGGCGGCGCTGTCGTCGCACCACAAGCGAAACAGATCGAAGCCTTAATCGCGCTATCAAAATTCCGAAGTAAACGCAGTATAATATATAGAATAGCTGGACTGTCGTAACCGTCAGTTAATAGACAACAGTACTTCGTTCCAAACGCCTGCTACGGCGAATGTGATAGCTTCAATTAAAACCATGACAGGTCATTCAAAATATGTTGAATTACTACGTGACTTTCCACATATAACTCGACCATTAGGTGTACCGCAAGCCCCTAAACAATATATAGACTGCAGACAATATCTGCTCGGGAGCGAATGAATGGATGTGATTCGTGTTCATATCACGTCCGGGGCACCACTGTAACCGGTAGAAGGAAAAGGGGAGATCTTCCGCCGGGCGAGGTGTTAATCCCGGGGAGAGGCTCACGCTCCGAGTGTTAGTTCGGAGCTATTTCTATATATACTGCTTTTATTTCAGAACTTTGATAGCGCGATTATGGCTTCGATGTGTTTCGCTTGTGGCACGACGACAGTACCCCAGTATGATGGTGAGGGGATAGAGAAAATATCTGTGCGTGTATGTGTGCTCTCTTCTGCAAAACAAAGATAGTTTCAATGTCAGTCATACCCCATAGCAAGATTCCATATGACATTACGCTATAAAATATCTAAAATAAACTAATATAGCTGTTTCAACGTAGGAAAGAACTCTATCTTTTTACAGCATATGCAGCAGAACTAAGTTTGTTAGCTAGTTTAGACGTATGTATAACGTGCTATGTTACTTGACATAAGCTTGAGTACAAACTATAAATAAATGCATAAATAGAGACCATAAGCCTATGAATCTAGAAAATTTCCAGGATCAACAAGCAAATTCAGCTACTTAACTGTGAACTGGATATTTAATAGACTGTAATGAATGAACGAAATAATTAGCATGGGTAGCGGTAACAGTACTGACGTCGGTCTCGTCCAGCACAGCTTGCAGCTCGGCGGGCTCGGCGCCGGTGAGCGCGGCGCCCAGGTCGCTGAGGTACACCGGGTTGTCCACCACGCGCTGCCCCTGCGCCAGCATGTGGTGCAGCGACTCCCTGACAACCACACCGCCCGGTAACATTTCACGGAACCACACTTCTAGCACACATTAATATACATAACAATTTACTGTCTTGTTGGTCTTTATAATAATGGTAACAACAGCAACGAGCATACAGTCCACCTGATGGTAAGTAGATGCTGTGGTGCATAGACATCTACATCAATCTTTGATTATGAATCAAAATGCAGATACGTTTCCACCCCTGAGGATTAAGACGGTATGCCTCGGTTCCAGTAAAAAAATAATTTTAAATTGAAAATTTTGTACAACCGACTTCAATATAAATTATTAAGAATAATTAAAAAACTATTGGTCAGACCTTAATCAAATTTATATGGGACCACATGAGAAGCACCAGCTTTCAAATAAAAAAAGAATCATCGAAATCAGTTCACTCAGTAAAAAGTTATGAGGTAACACACATAAAAAAACATACAGTCGAATTGAATACCGTCTCCTTTTTAAAGTCGGTAGAAAAGGGTCGATGATTCACTACACTCATCATACGAAACGCAGCAGCATTGAGCTGCTATTTCAGGCTGGTATTAAATGAGATTGTGGTCCTTCCCCTGTTGAGCCGATCTATTTCTACTACAACCATAACGTAGCTGTAACATGGCGCTACTGCTTAAAAAGCAATCAAATCCCAAGTCGGACCAAAATCAATTATTGGGTTTTTCTATAGAGGACTTCCCAGTGGCAGCCCGTAATCAGGTAGTTGGCGGTGTTTCACCACCGTGTATTGGAAAACATGTAAAGCCGTTGGACTTGCGTCTGACGTCTCTCCAGTCATGCCGGGTTGCCGACCCCTCGGACTTTGAGAGTGAAGAAATAAAGAGTGCACCTGTGCTTGCGCATACACTCGGACACTTCCTGTCCTGCGCAGATGGCTAGATTCAATTGAGACTGGCCACTGATGACTTTAACTATTTATAACAAGTAACCGGTTATATTGCGCATTTGTTTTTGTATTCAAACGGCATATAAAAATCATTGTAATAAAAATATATATTATAAATTGGATGATATAGTATTAGTATACCAAAGGGTTGAATGCAGCGAACGTAATTTTTTTTTTCAAAGAACTATTCTGTCAGTACCTATTACATGTATTAAAAAAAAAAACAAGAATACATGAACACAATAGAGCTCCATTAGATTCTATACAAATAAATAAAATTGAAGTGTCTGTTTGTAACGTCAAACAGCTTTTTACTAAATTCATATGAAAGTATATAACGTACTTATAACTAAAACACAATCTTTAAAATTTTTGTCTGTCTGCTTGTTTGTTCCGGCTAATCTCCGAAACGGCTGGACCAATTTTGACGGGACTTTCACTGGCAGATGGCTAATTTCATAAGGAGTAACTTAGGCTACTTTTATTTTAAAATGCGAATTAGGTTTCCGCGCAAAAAAAATTTTATTGAAACCTTAAATTACACGCGGGCGAAGTCGCGGGGAACAGGTAGTATTTTAATAAAGTTAGTTTGTAACTGTTGGGAGAAAAATAATCTACTTGTACTCAGTAAGTTCCTAAACAATGTAGTGACAGTGTAAGAATATCCACTACCCCATATCATCCCGTTAGTGTTATAAGAAGCGACAGTGAAATGAAACAATGGGCATCTTCCTGATGACAACTCAAAATAATTTAAAAAAAACTGGGCCTGGACCTAAGGCGATATGACGACTATAGGACATAACCGATTAGAATTAATGGTATAATATATAATTATTTTTTTATATAATTATTTTTTTATTACATAAATTATTAAATGTGTTGTGGAACACTCGGTTGGAATGAAGTTCTTTCGTAGTATATTATTATTGACAAATGTATAATATTATTGATTAACAAATACAAATAAATGAATTATGTAGTAGCGTCTATTACAATGAAGCGACATTTAAAATAAAATAATATTTTTTCATGTCAAGATAAGAAAAAGCCATGGCCGTCTACACTACGTCAGAAGGGGTCGTAATGGAAAAATCTTACACTTTTTCTAGCCTACCCCCCGTACCCTTCGATAAGGAACTACATTCCAAAAATAACTTATATGGTTGTTACCTGTACAATGGATTGAGATTTATGATATCACGAATTGTCTTAATAACTTCCTGTGTCAGAGCCTTGACTTCTTCATTCTGCTGGAACTTCTCATGCATAACATTCTCAACTTTCACCATCAGAACTTGATCGATAATAGCTTTCTTCTTTTCCGCTTGCTCCTCAGTCTCGGGGCCATTCTTCTGTCGCCTGGTGGTTCGGTGCTTCCGCCGTCTCCGTTCCGCGTCCGACTCTTCACGGGTAACATTAATTTCCACATCAAATATAGGAAACTTGAGCTTCATTTCTGAAATGATAAGCATCATTTCAGAAGTGAAGCTTGTACTTATGTACTTATAAAAAATATAACTGTTAAGGATACCGCCCAAAAAATATCTAGAACAATAAAGACCTTACTTATAACTGTTGATAGTTATACACTTACGTAGGGGGTAGAGGGGATTACTTATGAGGCAATCGATGGGGGAGGCCTATGTTCAACAGTAGACTTTATACTCGACGAGGGAAGGTCCACGCTTTCACAAAATACCAGCGTAATATAATAGCTCAATGCTGCTGTGTTTAAACTGAAAACGAAGCATTCCAGCTTAGTCCTAAGGGGCGGCAACACATCTGTATTTTGATTTTTAATCGAGGATAAATGTAGATGTTATGGGCTACAGCATCCACTTACCATCAGGTGGACTATGAGCTCATTTGTTAATCGTATTTTATAAATAAAAAACTTAATTTCAGAGACATTACAAAATTTGAGAACATGTGAAGTCTGCCAACACACATCAAGGGTACTTAATGCACGCAATATTGGAAGTTTTCAATGTCACTCTTTCCTCATTCATTGTTTCTACATGGCCAAACCACCGAAGCATTCCTTTCTTAATCCTGGTCACAACATCATCTTGCAAACCACACTCTTCTCTTATTAAACAATTTCTCACTCTGTCATTCAGATTCATCCCTAACATACTCCTTAATGACTGCATTTCTACAGCATTTATCCTACTCTCTTGCTTCTTCTGCCACACCCAACTTTCACTACCATACATTAAAGTAGGTACTAACACAGCATTGTGAATTGCTATATGTGCCTTTTTGGACACATTCTGACTTTTCACAATAGAGTGTAGAGCCCTATTCACTCTATTTCCTGCATTCACTCGTCGTTCTATATCCTTATCATATCTACCATCCCTGCTAAACACACATCCCAAATATAAAAACTCATCTTCTTGCTCTACCAACTCCCCTTCTATTCTTATTACACATATCGTTTTACTTTCTTCTCTTTCAAAAACCATAACTTTCGTCTTACTTGCGTTCACTTTCATTCCCTTTTCTTTTAATGTCCTGTTCATTAATGTAACCATCATTTGCAACTCGGCTGCCGACGATGCAAGTATGACTTGATCATCGGCGTACAAAAGGCATTTGACGGTTAACTCACCCATTCTTAACCCGCATTCTTCTACTTTCAAATTTTCCAAACAACTGTCCATAAATAGGTTGAACAACCACGGGGAAGCCACACAGCCCTGTCTGACACTGTCTGGATGCCAAACCAGTCCGAGTAGGCCCCGTTGATCCTGACACAAGCACTAGAGTCCCTATATAGAGAATTCAATGCCTGTATCAGACCAGCGGTCAACCCAAATGAGTTCAGTGTTTGCCATAACACATCCCTGTCCACTCTGTCATAAGCCTTCTCCAAGTCTATGAACGCACAAAAGACTTTTTGGTTTTTGGCCAAAAACTTGTCCGCGATCATTATATGGCCAAAAGAATATTTATTATATTATGCTCTTTTTACTGGAAAAGAGGCATTCTATCTTAGTCCTTACGGGTGGCAATGCATCTGCATTTTGATTATTTATTGAAGATTGATGTAGATGTCTGTGTCACAGGAACCACTTACCATCAGGTGCACTGTGCGCTCGTTTGTCACCCTATCCTATAAAAAATCATATGTTTTCAGTTCAGAAATTGAAATATTGGAAAATTTGTTCCGTATCTCCATAGTTACATACATAGATACACCCTAGAATACTCTCAGTATCGAAAGCCTGTGTTCAGCAGTGAAACCACTGTCCACTTATACTCAGAAAAAATTAAACAGCTTAACTAAACTCACCAGCTGGTCCAGTCTCAACTTCATCCTCTATAAACTGTCCTGTGATACGAATTCTTCTATGTGCCATCACAACTAATCTCAACTTATAGTCCATATCTTGCATTTCGTGAATCTGTGCAAACACCCCCACTTGGTGCAGGTCATCAAGATTTGACACAACATCTGACTTCTCATCCTCTTTCTTTCGTAAAAATATACCAACGTATGGTTGATTGAGCTTTACCTTACGCCTAATTAAATCAATTAGGGCAGGATTTGAAATCTAAAAAAAAAACACCATTAAATTAATAATAGTTTAACTTAACCAGAACAAAGTTTAGATTTTTAAAATATATTAAAATATGACAATAAATATTATTGTTATATGTTTTCAGCTCTGGTAAATAAAATTTTTGTGTCAAGTTCCTATAATAGTTCTAATGTAATATAATGAAAAAGAATACAAGAACCAATAAAATAAAACTAACAATACAGGAATCAAAATTAATTAATCATTCTATCTATTAAACCAAAATAAAAAAGAGGTGGAAAATGAAGGCTTATTATAATCTAAACTTTAGATTCTAAAGTATAAAAAGCCACTTCCTGTCGTCTGTACGCCTAGCGGAATTTGATTTTGATGCAATTTTCATCAATAGACAAAATGATTCAAGAGGAAGGTTTATATGTATAATGCATGCATATTATCTATACAAAGAAATAAAATTGAAGTGTTTGTTTGTACTGTCGAAATAACAGCTTTTTACTATATGCATATGAAAGTATATACGATATTTATAACAAAACACGATGTCTGTCTGTTTGTTCCGGCTAATCTCCGAAACGGGTGGACCGATTTTGGCCGGACTTTCACTGGCAGATAGCTGATGTTGTAAGAAGTAACTTAGGTTTCTTTTATTTTAGAAAAATAATTAGGGTTCCGTGCAAAAAATTAAAACCCATGAAATCCAATCGTAATAAATTACGCGCGGGCGAAGTCGCGGGGAACAGCTAGTATTTTATATAATTCTTCCGTCTGTGTCCGTGTGTACCGATTTTGATGAAATTTTGTGTGTGTGATTAAGTTGACCAGGTAGGTGGCGTTGTTGTCAAGATCCAGAAATCAACCGTGCGTTGCCGGGGCGGATCGCTAGTCTTTCATAAAAGTCAAGATCTACTATTGGTTCAAAAAGTAGAAGATACATAAGTCTACTGTTGGACATGGGCCTTTCACTTTGCGGGGAGGATTTTCCTTAATCATTACACTTAGCAGGGGATTGACAACTACAGTACCAGATTTGAGTACCTTTGCCACTGCTGCCTATTGGTGATACCTAAATATGGTGATGGAATGGTGAAAAAAGGTGAAAATCTGAATTCCAAATTATTTCATTATAACTTAAAAACATCAAATATAACTATAGATAGGCTTTAATGTTGTATTTTTTAGTAGCTAACCCCTTTGCCATGCACCGCTACTCTATGTTATATGTTATAAGCAATCTATGAAAAACGTTTAGATATTGAGATAATTTTATAAATTTAATTGTAAAAATATGACACAGAAAACATTGTACGAATAAGTATGATAACAAAAACATTATAAAAGTTTTTGTAATCATACTTATTCTTATATTACTTATATTACTTTTTGTTGCTTTTCTTCAACGTTTTTCTATTTCATAATTTGAATAACAAAGAACTAGTAAATATATCTAAATGCATGTTAAACTTATTGATACTAAAATTATAACAACCATATGATTCTTAAACAATTCTAATCTGAATTTTTTTATTTCTTTTCTCTCGAGTTATGAAAAGTTGCAGGATCAGATATTATGTATTGATTTAAATATAGATTAGTTAAACAATGAACAAATATTGTTACTGCATCTCCATTAGTGTTTATCACGGATTTTATTGAAAAACGAAGTAAATGAATAGTTCTTTAACTCATCAACAATTCTAATGAGCACTGGTTTGCAAATTCACATCAAGGTGATAAAATTAACATGTAAAAGAAATTAATTAACTTTGATTTAAAAGTATATAAGGCCTTTAACAGAGTCAGTTGATATTATTACTTATGAATTGAAAAATGAGCATAATACTTACACTACATAACACTTACAGCAACAAATTTGAAAATTAATGAAGTGTCATCAGCAAATAATACTATATTATGGTTATCCCCTACTATGTAAAGTACAAGAAACAGAAAGGGGCCGAGAATTGAGCCTTAAGGCATGCCCATTTGTACTATCGACCTGGAAGAGCTCATACTATTAATTACAACTTTTTGCGTTCTGTTATTTTAATATGAAACAAATAACTTAAGAGCATTACTTGTTACACTGTAGTGTTGTAGTTTCCTGATTAATGTTTCATGGTGAACACAATCAAAGGCGTTGGATAGCTCACAAACCATCCTGTGAATTCTCCCATGCATTGAAAATATATTTAATCAACTCAAAACCAACATCAGTTGTTGAGCGACCCCTTGTAAAACTGAATTGATTTTTATGAAGTAAACTATTTACATTAAAAAAATTTAACATTTGATCAAGAATAATTTTTTCAAAAATCTTATTATGTGTTGGCAGTACAGAAATTGTCTAAAATTGGCGGGGTCTAATGTACTACCAGAAATCTAGAAAAAACCCGTTTTAAAGGTACTTACTTTACTATGCTTCATTAAATCAGGAAACATACCATATTCGATACAAGTATTAAAAATAATAGCTAGATGAGGTGCGATATGAGGAACGATAATCCCCCACTGATGTTTTAAAATATTTTAAAATATCTTTAAATACTATTTTATGAAATGTCAAATTCTTTGTACACACATTTACATTTTGTTTAAGTAATGATTCGGCGACGGCAGGAGAAGAATTCATTGACTTAGTGGTTAAGATCGGAATATCAGTAAAATATTTCTCAAAAATCATTGCAACATCCTAATTTGATTCAGTTAATTTGTTGTTAAAACTTAACAGGTAGTTTGAATTGCGAGAGTTGGCCTTACCAGTTTCGCTATTAATTATACTCCACATCATTTTAATGTTATTAGAAGTACTTTTGAAGAATTATTGCCCTAAATGCCTTAATGACAATTATATTAATATAATATAAATGTAAATATATTATATTAATATAATATACCGTGTAGTGGCGGTCAAGAATATCCACTACCCCATATCTTCCCGTGGGTGTCGTAAAAGGCGACAAAGGGAAGCAGGCAGGAGATGGGCAGCAGCATCTTCCTGATAATAGCCAAAATTACAATTAAAAAATTGCGGTTGCCAACCCGCTCGCCAAGCGTGGCAACTATGGCAAAAACCCCCCAAATATTTAAAACAACAAACAGACGGCTCCCAGTCCCCGGCGGCCCCGCTACTCCTGGCTACGGTGGCGACCATGGTAACGGCGAGGCAGGGGGTGCTAAGAATCTCCGGTGGAGGTTCGGTTGCCACCTTAGACGACTCGACCTGGCAACGTACAACGCACGCACCCTGAGGACTGACGAGAAGATCGTGGAGCTGGAAGAAGAGATAGACAAGTTGCGCTGGCATATTATAGGATTATCCGAAGTCCGAAGAGAGGGGGAGGACACGGTAATCCTCGAATCCGGCAACTTGCTCTATCATCGGGAGGGCGACCATCTGTCCCAAGGAGGTGTCGGATTTATCATTCACAAGTCTCTCGTTAACAACGTTGTAAAGATTGAGTGTATCGACAAGGCTTGCGTACCTTATACTCAGAATCACCAAACGGTATTCGCTGAAGGTTATACAGGTTTACGCACCAACCTCGGCACACCCCGATAAGGAGGTGGAGGAAATGTATGAGGATATCTTTAGAGCCATGCATTCCTCCAAAACCCAATATACGGTGTTAATGGGAGACTTCAATGCAAAACTAGGCACAAGAGAGAGCGGTCAGCTGAAAGTAGGGAAATTTGGAATAGGGCAACGGAACCCAAGGAGCCAGCAGCTGGCCGACTTCATAGAGAAAGAGGGACTCTTTATGATGAACTCTTTCTTCCAGAAGCGGCCCCACAGGAAGTGGACTTGGTCGAGCCCCGACGGTTCCACAAAAAATGAGATTGACTTCATTATGACGACCAGACGACAACTGTTCAGTGATGTCTCCGTGATCGCAAGGTTGAAAACCGGCAGCGATCACCGAATGGTGAAAGGCACACTGAACCTAAACGGTAAGTTGGAGATGTCACGTCTAATGAAGTCAACGCTCCGTCCCCCTCGTGCTCTGATCCAAAGTCCCGAAACCTTTCAGCTCGAGTTACAAAACCGTTTTCAGTGCCTAGAAGACTGCAATGAAGTGGACTATATGAATGACAAGAGAGCAGAAGTGCGGTGGTCTTGTTCTTCAAGAAACGTGACAATGCTCTCTTGAAGAACTACAGACCGATTTCCCTTCTGAGCCGCGTCAACGTGCTGTTTTCGAGAGTCATTACGAATCGTCTCGCACGCAGACTTGACGACTTCCAGCCTCCCGAACAAGCCGGTTTCCGAAAGGGCTATAGCACCATAGACCACATACATACCCTTCGGCAAGTTGTACAGAAGTCAGAGGAGTACAATATGCCACTATGCCTGGCGTATGTGGACTATGAGAAAGCCTTTGATTCCATCGAAATTTGGGCGGTGCTGCAGTCCCTTCAGCGGTGCCAAGTTGACTGTCGGTATATTGAAGTGCTGAAGTGCTTGTACAGTAGAGCTACGATGGCTATCCGAGTACAGAACCAGAGTATGAAACCTATCCAATTGCAGAGAGGTGTAAGACAGGGTGACGTTATATCCCCGAAACTCTTCACCGCTGCATTGGAAGACGTTTTCAAGCTTCTGGACTGGAAAGGATACAGTATTAACATCAATGGCGAGAACATCACTCACCTTCGATTTGCTGACGATATAGTCCTTATGGCAGAATTGCTGGAGGACCTAAGCACTATGCTCAATGACCTCAATAGTGTCTCCCAATGGATAGGTCTTAAGATGAACATGGACAAAACAAAGATTATGTTTAATGTCCATGTCACACCTATGCCGGTAGTTGTTGGGCTATGCTCGGAGTTTCTCTGCGTGATAAACTTAGGAATGAGGATATCCGCAGTAGAACCAGAGTAACCGACATAGCCCAACGGATTAGTAAGCTGAAGTGGCAGTGGGCCGGCCTTATAGCTCGAATAACCGACAACCGATGGGGAAGAAAGGTTCTTGAGTGGCAGCCTCGTACCGGTAGGCGAAGTGTAGGGCGACCCCCCACAAGATGGAGTGACGACCTGGTAAGACATGCAGGAAGTCGATGGATGCAGGTGGCCCAGGACCGTGCTTTGTGGCATTCCTTGGGGGAGGCCTATGTTCAGCAGTGGACTTATGAAAGGCTGTAATGATGATGATGATAAAATGTAAATAAAAGTAAAGTTACAGCCTATATATAAGTCATTTCTAAGGGGTTTTTAAGCAAAGGAATGTTCCCTGTTCTGTCCCAGTGCACTTTGGCGGACTTCGCATATATATCCACAATGATTTCCATCAGTGTCGGCAGAGATTGAACCCATGTTATTTACATACTGTGAAATTTACAGCAAGCACTTAGCAGATCTATCATAGCTCTATGAAATATTAATAAAAACAATAAAGAATCCATCAATCCCAATTGTCTTAGGGATAAGCATGAGGCAAATACGAAAAATGTTAGAAAAATATTATGGCTACCAAAAAATGGTGGTATAACCACATCATTTACTGCGGACATAAAATATCAAGACCGACAACAGGCAGAAACACAAAGGTGTGAGACATCTAGTACTATGATTGTCAATGTACCTGCCAAGCAAGTAGATTAACCTTTAAGTATCAATGTGCATTATTTGTATTGTTAGTACCGATGTGAGGCCTGAGAGGACAGGTATATTATATGGTGTTTTTAAGGAAAGTGATGATTTAAACATCTGTCTTTGCATTATAATAAAAATAGAGGGTTTTAAGACAAAATAAGTATAAAAATGAAATGAACTTTATTAAATTTTTAAATATAATACTACAATAATATTTGACTTGAATTTTGGGGAAAATACAGACTTTTAGATATAAAAAATCAAAATGCAAAGAATACTCCTCTCAGGATAACAAAAAGTAATATTTCTTTACGACTAATATAACTTTTAGAAAAAGAAAATAGAACATAGAACATAAACCTTCTGGAAAAATAAATGCCCACAATTCAAGTTTATCTTAAATTTTAAGCACAGTCAGGGTGCACTTATTTCTTGCACTGTAAACAAACATGTTTTTTGCATAAGTAGCATCTATATGGCGATTTTATTTTCAGTTTAAGTTGATATGAGAGACAATTCTTTCATGTCTTGACTTCTTCAGCTTCATCTTCAGATGTTATATCTTTATATTATCTTATCAGAACCAAGTACTCTTGCCAAACTCATCCTAAGTTCACTGGGTTCAGATCTCTTTGATTGCTGTAAATCTATCACAGAACTATTTCTTTTACTACTTAAAGTCCTTAATATATTAATAGTTCACAATATCTGTAAAAATAAAAGTATACCTTAACAAAAAATAAAACAAAAAACTTACATAAGTACCGATGTGCGGCCGGAGAGGCCGCGTCGGAATTTCAAATCGTAATTACTCACCAAATGCATGTACGACGACACCACTTCCTGCTCCGACGTCAATGCAGGCACTGTTCTTGCAGCTACTTAAAAGCAGTGATTGGTATTGCATGGAGAAAGGGGGCAAACTACCAAATCAAGTGCCTGCCAGAACCTCTCAGGCCGCACGTCGGTATTTAAAGGTTAAAATCAAACTCTCTACTACAAGGGTAGAGACCGAAGTCTAGTAGTAGACTTTTAAGGACTGATGAAAAAAAGGTAGAAAAGATACTATTTAAAAAAAAGATTTTAAAGATTTTCATGGCTTCTTTAAGATTTTCTGAGAAAGCAATGACTGTTAATTGTAGATTATTGTCTCTAGTGCAACAGCACTGTTCATTTTAATAATATATACAAACTTCTATTTAGCCACACAAATTTGTCTGGCATAATGACCTGTTTTATTTTTTAATTAATTAATTGTTTTACGGTTTATAAATTCATACACAATAAAACTTTGAACCACAAATAATTACATAGAATTGAAAAACTAACCTCAATTAATTTAATAAACCTTGGGAACACTGGATTTCTATTGATAGCAATGACTGGCACTTGTGGCCACACTTCGGGAACAGCGACCGTAGCTGGCAACTGACTTGTAAACAAAGGAGTTTCGTCTTTTACTTCTGAATCTTCTTCAGGAGGGTCATTCTTATTTTCAGTTGAATACAATCTGATATTAGAAGGCTGTGCAACTCGTGGTAGAAATCCAACATTATAACAACAAACACGACTATGTGAACCTAATCCACTATAACTACTTAATACACGAGAATTCTGTAATTTATTATTATGTGATGCAATTCTAGTAAAGTTCCGAACTAATCGCCCCGATGTCGACTTAAATTTCTGGTTCGTTAAAACGGTATTTCTTACTAATATATTCGCGGTATGCATCGTTTATTCCGTATTGATTCACAATGTTATCCAGTTAATAATCATTTAAAATAATATTATCAAGGTTATATTTCTAGATCCAAATTCTTCAAACAGAACAGAATAAAGACCAAAGACAAAATCACTCTTGAACTCTTCTTGATTGTCATGTCATTTGTCACACTTGACAGATATCAGATGGCTTGTCTGAAGCTTGTCTGCATAGATGGAGGCGGCATTTTCTACTATATAATAATAGTTATACAAATGTCTATGATATCGACAAACACATGTCATAAACAGTTTTGTTTCTTTTTAATAAAGCAGTAGCTGCATTAGAAAAGAGAGACAACTACAGTTTATCAAGTTCTTATTTTGACAACACTTTCGTGTGACGTCATTAACTTATCCACGCGTGACTGCGTCGCCATATTAAGCGCCGAGTTTTGTTGTAGATCTGCTGTTATACTGTTGCGTGCTAAAAGTATTTTTGTAGTTTCCCTGAAAAATACGGCTAGAAATTAAGTATTGTGGTGCACTAGGCTTTGCCGTAAATAATCAATCATGCCTTCGTGTTGCATAAAACAGTGTAGTGCATGAAAAAACAAAAATGAGCCTGAATTCACAGGTTAGTAACCAATTTTCATGGATTTTGTATGATGTATTGTTACAAGATGATCTTTTGAAAGATTGAGACCTGTGTCACAGTTTGGTGTGGATTATATTTTCTTTATTTCATTGCATTGTTTACATACAATGTTATAGTAAGGGTTAAATTAGTAAACATACTGATGTCGGCATGCGATCAGCGATGTTGAAGTTTCGATAATATTTTGTACAATTTTTTTTGTGTGTTGTTGCAATGGTATTTGTTTAAGCCAGAAATGGGCATTTGAAATTTGCATCCAATAACGCTTGCGCTCGGCGCGTCATCCGATGGGATTGAGGTGAGGTAAACGCTGCCGGGGGGGGGGGGCGTGTGCCGCTTCCCGTTATCCGTTATTGCGCGCAGCCGGTGTGTAGATTTTGACGGTCAAAAATTTGAGTTTTGAGTGATTAAATTAACTGATTGCCAATAATTGTTGCGCGACGGACGGTGTTGTAAAAGTCTAGAAAAGAATTGTTGCGCGGTGGCCGAACGCATGCCTCCTATGGAGTTGTTTTAATTTGTACGTTTCGTGATAACGAGGCTTGTCTTAAAGTATGGAAAAGATTTTGTCGCGCGTCAGCCGGTTAATTACTTTTGGAAGTTAATATTGAATTGTAACGTCTCGCTAAGTGCCTTTTTTGTGTGTTGTCTATTTTCGTTCGTTTTACGTGTCAACGAGGCTTATTTTTGAGTTTTCATTGCTTGTGTGGCATTTTAATATCGTACGAAGTATTTTTGCTTTGTCGGGAGAACGCTGAACTTTGTGACTTGAGAAGAGACCGCGTTCGTTCTCGTGATTATAATTTGTCGCTAAGTGAATATTGAACGTTGAATTTTGACTGACTGTTCTCTACTTGTGTCGTGTTTCACTTAATTTAATTTCGATCAACGTTGATTTGGTTGATTTTGAAGTTAATTAAATGTATAATGAAGTTGATAAACTAATACAGTGAAATGAAAGCAGAAGTTTTCAATTGGTGAACGCCCCCCTGGAGGGATCGCACATTTGGAGAGAAGCAGCGCCTGTGGATCTGCAGTCCGACTACATCGGTTAAGTCAGGTTAAATGTACACACTACTACACACTACTTACATGCACATTACTTACCACCTGACTGGTACCCTGCGGTTAACTCTACCTCCGGAAATCGGTGAGTTATGCTTGCTTATTTGCCATTAATTTAGAACTATCCATAGGCCATTGGGCATGAACCCTCGGCTGCTCGTCGAGGAGGCTACTATGGGCCCTAGCCCAGTCGACTTTTGCCGGGGCAGCTGGGGGCCGTAACAGTATTTTATTTGATAGGTTTCCAGTAAATAAAATTTTAAAGAAAAATGGCTATCTGTTATTGGAACTGAAAATATAAACCCCCGACATAAAATATGGTATGTCTGCTCAATGCACTTCGAGGAGTCATGCTTCGACAGAACTCTCGATGTGACAAGGTTACATGACAATGCAGTGCCCTCATCTTCTCTTATAGTAGGTTTTTTATTCTATGTATATTTTATTATGTTATTTTGAAGACATTTAAATTAATGCAAGGTAAAGTAGACCTTACGACTAACCTCAGCTATGTGCGCGTACCATGATAAATGGTGATCAAATATGACGCCTAAGTTTTTCACAGTACCGGCAAAGGCTATAGGAACGCCGTTAAAGCAAACGTGAGGTAATGATATAAATTCTAATTTATTACGCAAATGCCTGCTACCTATTATGATGGCCTGCGACTTCGTGGGATTAACTAATAGTCCAAAGGATGCAGAACATTTACAGATGCGGCTCATTCATGACTTTAATTGCATTATTTGTATCACACACCGGAAAATAACGATACAGCTGTAAGTTGTCCGCGTAAAGATGGAAATTAGATGTAATAACTGTCGTAATAGAGTTAATAAATATAGAAAATAAAAGAGGAAAAAGAACGCCACCCTGAGGTACGCCCATAGGGATACCAGACTAATCGGAAAGAGTGTCATTAAGACGGACACAGTGCGAGCGACCTCGAAGATACGAATCAAACCACATAATGGCAGATGAGAAACGTTTATAGATTCTAAGATCCCGAGAAGAATATAGAAGTCTACTGAGGTAAAAGCACTGCTAAAGTCAAGCAAAACTAGAAGTTTAAGAGATTTGTTGTCCACGGCCCAGCAGTGACGGTGCTGTGACCAGGATGAAAGCCCGACTGATATGTAGAAAGCAAAGAGTTAGACGATAAGAAGAAACAAAGTTGCCTATGGATAATGTGTTCCAGAACTTTAAAAAGAAAGGGTAAATAGATATGGGACGACAGTGAGAAAGAGAAGAAGGATTAGAAACCTTAGGTAAAGGAATTATATATGCTTGTTTCCAAACTGAAGGAAAAGATGAGGATGATAAGGAGAAATTAAATATGTGAGTAAGAATTGGAAGAAGTAGTGGTAGAAATGGCATAATCATCTTCGAACATAGACCGTCGTTACCAACAGCAGTTGAAAAGATGGCTTGGATGGATTTTTTGGCATCTTCCTCACATCACACGTGAAAGTTGAAAATGGAAAATGTGTGGTTTAAGGTTACGCGACAATGTGAGTAATGTGTTTGATTTGATGTAGGGATCTGAAGTCATAGGAGGAGTAGCAAAATGTTTATTTAGATGATTCTTGAAAAAACTAGTCCAGGAGACATACAGGGCACTGAAGCCAAATTAGTGGTTTTTTGAATTTTTGTCTGTCTGTCTGTGTATTACCGATTCACGCAAAAACTACTAGACCGATTTCAATTAAATTTTATATATAGATAGTTAGTAACCCGGAGCAACTTATAGGCTACTTTTTATCCGAAACTTAAAAAGAAGGTTAAGTATTTTTCTTTCTTTAAATGTTAATTTTCTAATATATGATTATGTTAGTTAATATGCGGGATGACGGGTGTTTTTTCAAATTAATATCATATTTGTAAATAAAGTTTAAAATTAGTTTTAATCTTTGCATAACAATTTGAAACTCCGCTGACGATATACGTTTTATTATCAAAACGACGCTATCTATTACCAAATGGGAAAAAGCCTATATTTTGCCTTTGGTAACTAATAAATCAAATAATATAAATAACTTACATTTATATGTTTAAATAACAAGATTTATAAAATTATTTAAATACCCTAACGTTTATTTATTTTTTAGATTTTTTTTGGTATTTAATTTTAAAGGTGTAATAATTAAAATTTAAAAATAATAGATAATAGTGACATCTATCAAACGTATGAAAATTCATATGTTTTTGTACTAAAAACTATATATGAATGTAAACTGATTAAAACCGGTCTGCCTGCAATTATTGAAAAATTCATAGTGTTATTTCATGGTATATATAACTGTTTGTTGATCATGTAATAGAAATCGTTTAACGATATTAATAACAAAACACAACATTGCTATTTCCTGATATTATCGTCAAATAATTATTCAGCGCTAGCGGCGCTAATAGAGTATTTTTAACAGAAACACATTTTCTTCTTTGGCAAACTGACAGAGACACAGACACCGAAGTGATTCTCAAAGTGATCAAATTTTGCTAAATTTGGCACGGAATAGCATTTAATGATGTTCTAAATTGAAGGCCATGCGAGTGAAGCCGCGGGTAAAAAGTTAACTAAAAGACACGAAAATTTCCTTAATCACACTTATATAAATGATATAAAAAACTTGAGTAAGTACTTAGCACACTCAGAACATTTTTTATAACAAGTTGCAAGTTAGCTGCCTGCATACTTAACTCTTTGTTTGACTGTACCTAACACAAAAAATCTGTACCAGAGTATGCACTGCGTAAGTGTACATATGCGGTGAAGCAGCTCGAGCGATACTTAAGCGATAGCAATCCAAATTTAATTTGACGACTCAACAATATTCATTGCTTCATGTGATTGAAAAATTCGTTTGCTGGACAACAAAAACTACGCAATGGATACTGTTAAACTGTCAAATTGGTATGGTTTGCCATTTTAAGTGTGTTACGCAATTAGTATGAAGTGTAGAGTAGAAGGAGGACCATCTCTGTATATGAAAGTGTTCCTTAAAACGCGTCCAATAAGGGTGGCGCTGCAGTAGCATAGGATAAATTAAAAAAAGCGCCAAAATTAATTAGAATAAGATGGAGAAATAAACAAGGATCGACCAATGCGCTTGGTTTTGTACTACGTAAATAGTTGAGGTTTTGTATACTGGCATTTTACTAACTACTCTAGTCATGAAATTTTTTAAATATTTGAATTCAGCTGACTTCACTTCGTCTACAACAGCTATATTCATATCGTAGTTTTTCAGACGCCAGCGCTATTGTGGTAGGTTTTGGAACCTCTATTTTCAGTATATAGTGGGAC